CAGTTTGGGAGGCTGAGGCAGGCAGATCACCTACAGTGAGGAGTTCAAGACTAGCCTGGCCATCATGGTGAAACCTCATCTCTACTAACAATTAAAAAAAAAAAAATTAGCTGGGCATGGTGGCACACGCCTGTAATCCCAGCTACTTGAGAGGCTGAGGTAGGACAATCACTTGAACCTGAGAGGCAGAGGTTGCAGTGAGCCGAGATCATTCCATTGCACTCCAGGCTGGGCAAAAGAGCAAGACTCCAACTCAAAAAAAAAAAAAAAAAATCAACTCAAGATGTATTAAAGACTTAAATGTAAACCCCAAAATTATAAAAATCCTGGACGATAACCTAGGCAATACCATTCTGGACATAGGAACAAAGATTTTATAACAAAGATGCCAAAACTAATCACAACAAACCAAAATTTGACAAACTGGATTTAATTAAAAAGAGCTTCTGCACAGCAAAAGAAACTATCTACAGCATAAACAGACAATCTGCAGAATAGAAGAAGATTTGCAAACTATGCATTTTGGTATCTTCATGCTTGAATCAGTAATTCAACAAAACAATGTTAAGTGCTATACTGTGCCTTTGGCAAAGAAAAAAAAATATGGTCCCTGCTTTCAAAATACTTTTAGTGGGAGAGACGAGACAAACAAGTTCTAACAATTACAATATAATGTGTTAAGTCCTATAGCTGAAGGAAGCAAAAGGTGTCTTGAGAGAATAGACTAGGGATACCTAATTAGTGAAGGGGTAGGTGGTTTGTCAGGGAAAGGTCTCTTAGCATGGGAACACTAAAAGGTGAGACTTAAAGGACAGTTAGGAGTTTATATGAAGAAAGAAAATCAAAGGCTGGCACAGTGGCTGACACCTGTAATCTCAGCACTTTGGGAGGCCGAGGCGGGTGGATCACCTGAGGCCGGGAGTTTGAGAGGCTGAGCAACATGGAGAAATCTCGTCTCTACTAAAAATACAAAATTAGGCCGGGCGCGGTGGCTCAAGCCTGTAATCCCAGCACTTTGGGAGGCCGAGGTGGGTGGATCACAAGGTCGAGAGATCGAGACCAACCTAGTTAACATGGTGAAACCCCGTCTCTACTAAAAATACAAAAAACTAGCTGGGCGTGGTGGTGCATGCCTGTAATCCCAGCTACTCAGGAGGCTGAGGCAGGAGAATTGCCTGAACCCAGGAGGCGGAGGTTGCGGTGAGCCGAGATCGCACCATTGCACTCCAGCCTGGGTAACAAGAGCGAAACTCTGTCTCAAAAAAAAAAACAAAAACAAAAACAAAACAAAACAAAATTATCCGGGTGTGGTGGTACATGCCTGTAGTCCCAGCTACTCAGGAGGCTGAGGCAGGGGGAACTGCTTGAATCCAGGAGATGGAGTTTACAGTGAGTGGAGATTGTGCCACTGCACTCCGGGCTGGTGAAAGAGCAAGACTTGGTCTAAAAAAAAAAATAAAATTAGCTGGGCGTGGTGGCAGGCACCTGTAATCCCAGCTACTCAGTAGTCTGAGGCAGGAGAATCGCCTGAACCTGGGAGGCGGAGGTTGCAGAGAGCTGAGATAGAGCCACTCTGGCCTGGATGACAGAATGAGACCTTGCCTCAAAAAGTAAATAAATAAATAAAATTCTGTCTTTGGGCTGGGCACCATGGCTGACACTATAATCCCAGCACTTTGGGAGGCCGAGGTGAGGTCAGGAGTTTGAGACCAGCCTGGCCAACACGGTGAAACCCTGTCTCTACAAAAAATAGAGAAATTAGCCAGGTGTGGTGGCACATGACCATAGTCTCAGTTACTTGGAAGACTGAATTGAGAGGATCACCCGAGCCCAGGAGGTTGAGGCTGTAGTAAGCCAAGATTTTGCCACTGCACTGCCACTCTTTTTTTGAGAACTTGTTTCAAAAATAAAAAAAAAGAGAGAGGCCGGGTATGATGGCTCACGCCTGTAATCCCAGCACTTTGGGAGGCCAAGGTGAGTGTACCAGCTGAAGTCAAGAGTTCAAGACCAGCCTGGCCAACATGGTGAAACCCTCATCTCTACTAAAAATACAAAAAGTTAGCTGGGCATGGTGGTGGGCACCTGTAATCCCAGCTACTTGAGAGGCTGAGGCAGGAGAATTGCTTGACCCCCGGAGGCGGAGCTTGCAGTGAATCAAGATTGCACCACTGCACTTGAGCCTGAGCGACAGAGTGAGACTCTGCCTCAAGAAAAAAAAAATTAGCCAGGTGTGGTGACGCACGCCTATAGTCCTAGCTTCTCAGGAGGCTGAGGTGGGAGGATCACTTCAGCTTGGGAGGCAGAGGTTGCAGTGAGCAGAGATGGTGCCGCTGCACTCCAGCTTGGGTGACAGAGTGAAACTCTATCTCAAAAAAAAAAAAAAAAAAAAGTTTTATTGGCAAACATCACAGTGTTTCAATGATTATAAAGATTTTTGGTAAATTAATACAAAGGGGAGAGACTGGCGTCTAGGATGACTTTTAGGTTTCTGGCTTGAGCAACAGAAGGTGTTGGAAGAGAAGGAGAGGGGGACTTGGAGGAAGTGTCAGCCCTCATTATGTGACACTTCAGCCATCTTGTTCAGGCTGGATGTGATTTTCTGTTTCTCCCTAGACCAAGATGGAGATACCGAATATGCATATTGTTCCTCCATTAGTGAACAGAGGATCATAATTAGAGTTAGAAAGGATCTTTTTTTTTTTTTTTTTTTTTTTTTTTTGAGACAGAGTTTCGCTCTTGTTACCCAGGCTGGAGTGCAATGGCGCGATATCGGCTCACCACAACCTCCGCCTCCTGGGGTTCAGGCGATTCTCCTGCCTCAGTCTCCTGAGTAGCTGGGATTACAGGCACGCGCCACCATGCCCAGCTAATTTTTTATATTTTTAGTAGAGACGGGGTTTCACCATGTTGACCAGGGTGGTCTCGATCTCTTGACCTCGTGATCCACCCGCCTCGGCCTCCCAAAGTGTTGGGATTACAGGCGTGAGCCACCGCGCCCGGCCTTAGAAAGGATCTTTAAAATCACTTAGTTCATACCGACATTCTGCCCCCCATTCATCCCTTAAACCAATGTTTGCATTGTCTTCACATTTTTCCTGTGACATGATCATCCATGGAGACGAAATTGCTTACCCTCTCTCAATTTCCACGATTACAAAAGGCAAATAATATTACCTACCTCACAGGTTTAAATCAGATAATATATATATAAAGCATTTATTACAGTGCCTAGAAAATGTTCAATAATCTCATATATTAGCTTAAAAATGACTATGCTGCACAGTTGGCAACCCATTAATAGATTGTGAAATCAACTTTTAATGTGCAGTGATCAGTGCTTTTTTAAAGAGAAATAGAATAGATAACATGCAGTGTGTATTGTACAAAATGTTTGTTTCCATGTAAATGTGGGTTTATATGTTATATATTTACATGTTTATATAGCATATAAATTTATGCATTCATACTTATATTATTTTTGTATGTGGATATATACATATGTTTGTTCTGGGTCAAAATGTGAAACGTATTACTGTGGGTCAGGTGGGAAAAATTTTGAGAAGTGTTACAACATACAATTCTTTTCTTCCTTTGCTAATCTATGTTGAAAGCCAAACCTTTTTTTTTTGAGATGAAGTCTTGCTCCATTGCCCAGGCTGGAGTGTGATGGCATGATCTCTGCTCACTGCAACTTCTGCCTCCCAGGTTCAAGTGACTTTCCTGTCTCAGCCTCCCAAGTAGCTGGGATTACAGGCACCCGCCACCATGCCGGGCTCATTTTAATATTTTTTGTAGAGATGGGTTTTAGCCACGTTAGCCAGGCTGGTCTCGAACTCCTGACCTCAGGTGATCCACCTGCCTCAGCCTCCCAAAGTGCTGGGATTACAGGGGAGAGCCATGCCCGGCCTAGACGTTATTTTTAAAGAGGTTATAAAGTACTATGTCTCTGTAAAATATTTTTATTTCCAGCTCCTAGCACAGTAACTGGTAAACAGAAGATGCCAAATACACGTTGATCGAACTAGGAACAAGTTCGATAAAGATACATAGACTAGCGTTTCTTCATATATAGACTAGTGGTTCTTTCCTGGGTGATCAGACTTCTTTTAAGAAGTTGTTCAAAGTTTTGGACCCTCTTCCCAGAAGTCCCGAGCACTCAGTTCTGAACGTATTCTAGAGAATTCCTGAATCCCCATGCATTGCTCCTCTAAGGTTCTACGGGCACTCCCCAAGCTAAGAACCTGAAAGGAAGGTGTTTAACTTCTGACCGCGGACGTGTGAGGTCAGGAGGGGAAGAAAGTTTGGGGTTAGATAATTTTTTTTTTTTTTTTTTGAGACAGAGTGTCGCTCTTGTTACCCAGGCTGGAGTGCAATGGCGCGATCTCGGCTCACCGCAACCTCCGCCTCCTGGGTTCAGGCAATTCTCCTGCCTCAGCCTCCTGAGTAGCTGGGATTACAGGCACACGCCACCATGCCCAGCTAATTTTTTGTATTTTTAGTAGAGACGGGGTTTCACCATGTTGACCAGGATGGTCTCGATCTCTTGACCTCGTGATCCACCCGCCTCGGCCTCCCAAAGTGCTGGGATTACAGGCTTGAGCCACCGCGCCCGGCCTCGGGGTTAGATAATTTTTTAAAATTCTTCTACAAATCCTGGGATTCTAGAGTTTTGGTGTTGGGAAGGTACAGGCAGGTACAGTTTGGTACCACTAGTGTCGAAGAACAGTGGGAACAATTTTAACATACGTTCCGCCATTTGAATGCCGTGGCAATCCAGTGATGATGAAATTGCAGTTCTGAGGGACTCGGTGGCTGGTCTGAAAGGAAGGAACTGGCACGCTCCGGAATAGGGACTGGAACCACATGTCCAAATTCTTGGCGACGAAGTAGGGCCGGGCGAGAAGGGCGGAGAAAGGGGCGGGGCTGCGCACGCGCACACGTGTCCCGGAGCTCCTCTCGCCGCCACCCTCCCTCAGGCCGGTACGGTGGCCGACGGGAGTCAGACGCCGGCGATGAATGGAGGTGCTGGGAGCGGGTTGAACAAGTCTCCCGCTCTCGCGTCCCTACAGCCCCGTTTCTGCCTCTGTGCGGTGCCCACATCCTTCCCCGTTCGTATCGACGACCCGGTTGGTCCGGGCGTCTGAGTTCTCGGTGCCCCGAGTCGACTCGGGGCACAACGAGGGTTTGGGGTTCCCGATGATCGCCTAGGCCCGACTTCGGACCGCGCTCTCGATTTCTGCCGCGTCCCACGCCTAGGACGCGGAGTCCGTGTGGGGTTCCGTCAGGCTTGGAGGGTAGATCTTAAGGTACGAAGCGTGCGCTTCTCAGGCCTCAGCGCGTTCTTCGGTCTGTGTGGGCGAGTGGCCGGACTTTGCTCAGCCGGAGGGACTTGTTGGTTCTGGCTGCGACCGGGGCGAGATGGAGGAGCACACAGGTCTTGGCGCCTCCGCTCCATCAGCCGGCCCCTCCCTGGAAACCAGGCAGTTTTTACCCACGGCTTTTTTTTTTTTTTTTTTTGAGACGGAGTTTCGCTCTTGTTACCCAGGCTGGAGTGCAATGACGCGATCTCGGCTCACCGCAACCTCCGCCTCCTGGGTTCAGGCAATTCTCCTGCCTCAGCCTCCTGAGTAGCTGGGATTACAGGCACGCGCCACCATGCCCAGCTAATTTTTGTATTTTTAGTAGAGACGGGGTTTCACCACGTTGACCAGGATGGTCTCGATCTCTTGACCTCGTGATCCACCCGCCTCGGCCTCCCGAAGTGCTGGGATTACAGGCTTGAGCCACCGCGCCCGGCCAGCTACCTTTTTGTTTGTTTCCTTTTTGTACCTGGAGACTCCTGACTCCTGGAGACAGAGGAGCGCCCTAGTGAGACGTGTCTTTCCCATATAGCACCCCCACATCTGCCCAGGAACACAGGGGGACACAGGATAGTGATGTGGCCTCCAGAGCCTTCAATCTGGCATTGCTTCTGCCCAGGGAGGTGATTTGCTAATGTTTCCAGCGACTTGATGAGGATGAGAAAAAGCCAAATAGTTCTTTACGTATATCGGGTAGTAACGTGAAACTATCGGGGTATGAAAGAAAGCACTTAACGATGACCGTTCACTTAATTTTGTTTACATTTTGTGGCGCTTATGTGACTGATATAGTGGAGAAAGTAAAGTCTTGGACTGGGATTTTAGTAGATGAGTATTCAGCCTTGGATTGTGCCTCTAACTAGTGATATTACTTTGGGCCTGTTACTTCATCTCTCTGGGCTTCATATTCTTTCTTTGTAAAATATGAGTATTAGAGCAGAAGATTTCTGAGGCTGCAAGAGTCATTAATATACTGTTTTCTTTCTCATTTTCCAGATGACAGTATAAACCTAGGGAGACAGAGAAGCCCTGTCTTGATTGTGCCAGAAACATCGCCAACATAGGGGCCTATTAAAGATACACCACGTTTTTGAGGGCTTTTAGAAAGTTGGGTGTTCATACACGCGGAAGTTAAACTCCTACTTTGATTTGTATTTTTACCATTAGGATCAATAGTAATAATGACTGAGTGTACAAGTCTGCAGTTTGTCAGCCCTTTTGCTTTTGAGGCAATGCAGAAGGTGGACGTTGTTCGCCTGGCATCTTTAAGTGATCCAGAATTAAGACTTCTCCTGCCCTGCTTGGTACGGATGGCACTTTGTGCACCTGCTGACCAGAGCCAAAGCTGGGCTCAGGATAAGAAACTCATCCTTCGCCTTCTCTCTGGAGTGGAAGCTGTCAACTCCATTGTTGCACTGCTGTCTGTGGACTTTCATGCTTTAGAACAAGATGCCAGCAAAGAACAGCAGCTTAGGTAATGTTATTTTATGTAATATATGGATTTGGATTTGCCAAAGAATGGGGAGTCAAATATTTTTCAGAGCTCTGCAGAAAAGAGAGAATGAGAATTTTACTTAGGAGGGCATTTTACTTAGGTCTTTTCTATTGATAGTTACAATTCTAGAATCTTTGGACTTCCATTTATAAAATGTTGTCTAGAGAAATTTGGCAGTGTGCTCTTGTATGTGGGCTAAACTCACTAGGCCAGTTACTTTCAGTGGGAAGTAGATAGGGTAACTTCCCCTAGATTAGAGGGATTTATTGGAATCACTTGGTAGGCTTTTTTTTTGAAACAGAGTTTCACTCTTGTTGCGCAGGCTCGAGTGCAATGGTGTGATCTCAGTTTATTGCAACGTCTACCTCCCAGGTTCAAGCGATCCTCCTGCCTCAGCCTCCTGAGTAGCTGGGATTACAGGCACCTGTCACCATGTCCGGCTAAGTTTTTGTATTTTTAGTAGAAATTGAGTTTCATCATGTTGTCCAGGCTGGTTTTGAACTCCTGACTTCAGGTGATCCACTTTGATCCACTTGCCTCCAGCTCCCAAAGTGCTGGGATTACCAGTATGAGCCACTGGTCTTGGCCTCTTGGGAGGGGTTTTTTTTTTTTTTTTTTGAGACGGAGTTTCGCTCTTGTTACCCAGGCTGGAGTGCAATGGCGCGATCTCGGCTCACCACAACCTCCGCCTCCTGGGTTCAGGCAATTCTCCTGCCTCAGCCTCCTGAGTAGCTGGGATTACAGGCACGCACCACCATGCCCAGCTATTTTTTTTGTATTTTTAGTAGAGACGGGGTTTCACCATGTTGATCAGGATGGTCTCGATCTCTTGACCTCGTGATCCACCCGCCTCGGCCTCCCAAAGTGCTGGGATTACAGGCTTGAGCCACCGCGCCCGGCCGGTTTTTTTTTTTGAGATGGAGTCTTGTTCTGTCACTCAGACTGGAGTGCAGTGACGCCATTTCAGCTCACTGCAACCTCTGCCTCCTGGGTTCAAGTGATTCTCCTGCCTCAACTTCCCGAGTAGCTGGGACTACAGGTGTTTACCACCATGCCTGGCTATTTTTTTTGTATTTTTAGTAGAGACAGTGTCTCACTGTATTAGCCGGGATAGTCTTGCTCTCCTGACCTCGTGATCCTCCCGCCTCAGCCTCCCAAAGTGCTGGGATTAACAGGTGTGAGCCACCGTGCCTGGCAAGGAGGCTTTTAAAGCTTAGATATTCCCAAAGAGCCAGGCGCGGTGGCTCACGCCTGTAATCCCAGCACTTTGGGAGGCCGAGGTGGGTGGATCACAAGGTCAAGAGATCGAGACCATCCTGGTCAACATGGTGAAACCCTGTCTTTACTAAAAATACAAAAAAAATTAGCTGGGCATGGTGGTGCGTGCCTGTAAACCCAGCTACTCAGGAGGTTGAGGCAGGAGAATTGCCTGAACCCAGGAGGCGGAGGTTGCGGTGAGCCGAGATCGTGCCATTGCACTCCAGCCTGGGTAACAAGAGTGAAACTCCGTCTCAAAAAAAAAAAAAAAAAAGATATTCCCAAAGAATCTGGGCAGATGCTATGTCCTTCCCTGCCCATTGTGAATCTAGTAGCAAGCCACCATTAGTGGAAGTGAGTGTTAATTGTCAGTTGTGGTGGAGTATTATATGTAGGATATGAATTCCTGAAACACATAGGCAAACTAAATAGCATTTGAGAAGTAACAGAACATTTTGGAATATTTTATATGTCCTTTTGTAGCTTATTTCAATAAAAGATAATTTTTAGGTAATTATTTTCATACCAGTGTTCTCATAATTGTTTTACATGTTTGTGCTTCATTAGACATAAACTTGGAGGAGGCAGTGGAGAGAGCATCCTGGTATCACAGCTTCAGCATGGACTGACGTTAGAGTTTGAACACAGTGATTCACCTCGTCGATTGCGTCTTGTGCTTAGTGAACTGTTGGCAATTATGAACAAGGTGCATTTCTTTTAACCACAGCTCAAAGTATGCATGATTTGATGCTAAGGAGGTAGACAGAAAAAGAGGCAAGAAGGCAGGCAGGTTGAATTCTCCTCCACTTTTATTTCTTTTTTTGTTTTTTGAGACGGAGTTTTGCTCTTGTTGCCCAGGCTGGAGTACGGTGGCGTAATCTCAGCTCACTGCAACCTCCACCTCTGAGGTTCATTTGATTCTCCTGCCTCACCCTCCTGAGTAGCTAGGATTATAGGTGCCTGCCACCATGCCTGGCTAATTTTTTGTATTTTTAGTAGAGATGGGGTCTCACCATGTTGGCCAGGCTGGTCTCAAACTCCTGAACTCAGGTGATCCACCTGCTTCAGCCTCCCAAAGTGCTGGGATTATAGGCGTGAGCCATCGCGCCCAGCCTACTCTACTAATTATATATATATTTTTTCCTTTGAAAGGCTGAAAATATGTTACACGTCTGCCTTAAAGGCTTTCTCTAATCAGCGTTTTCTCTCATTTATACCTGTTCTGCATTTTCTATCAGAGGGATTTTTTCTGCATGGAATCCATACAGTGGCTTCTTGAAATTTAGAAGGGGATTTATCTTAAGACTTGTTCAGATTACCAAATTTATTAACAATTAATACCTTTATAGGATATAATTCTTCCTATAAAGTGTAATGAAGTATAACTGAAAAATGTATGTGATTCATTTAGACACTGGATGAGCATTAACAGCCTCATATATGATGGTAGTAGGGAGTATCAATGCTGAATTAGATGTAAGATGATTGGCTAGTCTGACCATGTTGGCCAGGCTGGTCTCGAACTCCTGATCCCAGTTGATCCACCCTCTTTGGCCTCCCAGAGTGTTGGGAATTACAGGCGTGAGCCACCGCACCCTGCCATGAATTTATATTTGTTAAACTGCTTTAGGTTGACTGTTTTCGGCTTTTTTTTTTTTTTTTTTTTTTGAGACGGAGTTTCGCTCTTGCTACCCAGGCTGGAGTGCAATGGCACGATCTTGGCTCACCGCAACCTCTGCCTCCTGGGTTCAGGCAATTCTCCTGCCTCAGCCTCCTGAGTAGCTGGGATTACAGGCACGCGCCACCATGCCCAGCTAATGTTTTGTATTTTTAGTAGAGATGGGGTTTCACCATGTTGACCAGGATGGTCTCGGTCTCTTGACCTAGTGATCCACCCGCCTCAGCCTCCCAAAGTGCTGGGATTACAGGCTTGAGCCACCGCGCCCGGCTTGTTTTTGGCTTTTTAAAAGCAGTTTATGTAGGTTGCATTTGGCTTGCCTTATCCTTTAATTCCAGTTGTCTCCAAATATTTTGACAGAAATCAGTTCTTGAGATTGATACTCCCATATCTGAATAATTAACAGGACTGCTGTCTGTGGTTAAATTGTTGAAATTGATTGAATGCTGCATATTCTGCTGCGGTATATTAGTAATATATTAAGAGACAATCTGTGAGCTCAAGAAATAATTATAAAAATAGGGATTTAATTATCTTAAATTAATAGACTTCAAATCTTTTTTTTTTTCCTTTTTTAAGGTGTCTGAGTCAAATGGAGAATTTTTTTTCAAGTCTTCTGAACTTTTTGAGAGTCCAGTATATTTGGAGGAAGCTGCAGATGTACTTTGTATTTTACAAGCAGGTACTGTACTGAGTGCTAAGATGTATTTCATATATAGTTTCTTATTAAATGATACTGTGTAACTTCTTAGCCTGGTATGCTTTGTTATTTTAAGGATCATGTAACAAATACATACTTTAAAAGTTGAAGTCAAAAGTGACTAATAGTTGGACAATGATTAAGTAAATTTTATTATTTTCATAGTGTCACATATTATGCAGATATTAACATGGTATCTTTGATTTAATTATTTTAATGCTCATTACTGATTTTGGAAAATGTTTACAGTATGTTAAGTGAAAAAAGCAAAGGACAAAGTGGTAAATAAAATATAATCCCCATTTTGTTAAAAGTTAAAGCAAAACGAATGCCCATGATGAATTAAAATATTTATTTATTTATTTATTTATTTATTTATTTATTTGAGACGGAGTTTCACTCTTGTTATCCAGGATGGAGTGCAATGGCGCGATCTCGGCTCACCACAACCTCCGCCTCCTGGGTTCAGGCAGTTCTCCTGCCTCAGCCTCCTGAGTAGCTGGGATTACAGGCACGAGCCACCATGCCCAGCTAATTTTTTGTATTTTTAGTAGAGACGGGGTTTCACCATGTTGACCAGGTTGGTCTCGATCTCTTGACCTCGTGATCCACCTGCCTCGGCCTCCCAAAGTGCTGGGATTACAGGCTTGAGCCACCGCGCCCGGCTAAAATATTTTATTTATTTTTTAGAGACAGTGTCTCTCTGTTGTTCAGGCTGGGGTGCAGTGGCAGGTTCATAGCTCACTGCAATCTTGAATTCCTGGACTCCAGGGATCCTCCTGAGCAGCTGGGACTACAGGCGTGTGAAAACATTTTATATTAACTTTCAATGATGGGATTATAGCGGATTTTAATTTTCTTTTTGTACCTTTTTGTATTTTCCAGATTCTCTATAATAGAAATGAATGATAGAAATAGAAGAGGATAGAAAACTGTAAAGAAGGCTGTGGCTCAAGCCTGTCATCCCAGCACTTTGGGAGGCTGAGGCAGGAGGATCACTTGAGCTCAGGAGTTTGAGATCAGCCTGGGCAACATAGTGAGACCTTGTCTCTACAAAAAATGAAAAAAAAAAAAAAAAAAAAAAAAAAAAAAGCCTGGTAAGGCCGGGCGCGGTGGCTCAAGCCTGTAATCCCAGCACTTTGGGAGGCCGAGGCGGGTGGATCACGAGGTCAAGAGATTGAGACCATCCTGGTCAACATGGTGAAACCCCGTCTCTACTAAAAATGCAAAAAATTAGCTGGGCATGGTGGCGCGTGCCTGTAATCCCAGCTACTCAGGAAGCTGAGGCAGGAGAATTGCCTGAACCCAGGAGGCGGAGGTTGCGGTGAGCCGAGATCGCGCCATTGCACTCCAGCCTGGGTAACAAGAGCGAAACTCCGTCTCAAAAAAAAAAAAAAAAAAAAACTGGTGTGATGGGGTACACCTGCAGTCTCAGCTGCTTGGGAAGCTGACACAGGAAGATGGCTTGAGCCTGGGAGATTGAGGCTGTAGCAAGCCATAATTGTGCCATTGCACTCCAGCCAGAGTGAGACCTTGTCTTAAGAAAAAAAAAACGTAAATAAGATTTTCTTGAAAATAACTCTTTAGACCAGTTCTATAAAATTTCCTGTACTGTTCTGTGCTGTGCTGTTCAGTGTTCTGTATGGCTATGGATTACTTGAACTGTGGCTAGTGTGATTGAGGAACTGAACTATTTTTTTTTTTTCTTTTTTTCTTTTTTTTTCTTTTTTCTTTTTTTTTTTTTAGAAGGAGTTTCGCTCTTGTTACCCAGCCTGGAGTGCAATGGCGCGATCTCGGCTGACCGCAACCTCTGCCTCCTGGGTTGAGGCAATTCTCCTGCCTCAGCCTCCTGAGTAGCTGGGATTACAGGCACGCGCCACCATGCCCAGCTAATTTTTTTGTATTTTTTTAGTAGAGACGGGGTTTCACCATGTTGACCAGGTTGGTCTCGATCTCTCGACCTCGTGATCCACCCGCCTCGGCCTCCCAAAGTGCTGGGATTACAGGCTTGAGCCACTGCGCCTGGCCCGGAACTGAACTATTTTTAATTTAATTTAAGCATCCTTATGTTGCTAGTGGCTATCCTACTGGACAGCTTAGCTCTAGACTGTGAAAAGAAAGTACTTTAATTTCTTTCAGATGACATTTGTGAAATGTCAAAATATATTTAATAATGCAATGAAACGTCACTCTTGGCTGGGCATGGTGGCTCACACCTGCAATTCCAGCAGTTTAGAAGGCTGAAGCAGGAGGATCACTTGAGCCCAGGAGGTTGAGGCTGCAGTGAGCTATAATCACATCACTGCACTCTAGCCTGGGCAACAGAGCAAGACCCTGTCTCGAAAAAGAAAAAAGAAATATCACTCTTTAACACTGGGGACAGGCATGGTGACTTATGCCCATAATCCTAGCACTTCAGGAGGCTGAGATTGGAGGATTGCTTGAGGCCAAAGTTTGAGACCCACCTGGGGTAGACAGTGAGATTTAGTCTCCACAAAAAAAAAAAAAAATTACCTGGGTGTGGTGGAGTGTAACTGTTAACAAATACTAATACCGATTTTGTTTTCTTGTAGAGCTCCCTTCCTTGCTTCCTATAGTTGATGTAGCTGAAGCCTTGCTACATGTTAGAAATGGTGCCTGGTTCTTGTGTCTCTTGGTGGCCAATGTTCCTGATAGTTTTAACGAAGGTAAATATAATTCTAATGTAGAATATTGAAGAGATTTGCTTGGACATGTATAGGACCTATTTTTTTTGACCTAAGAAGAAACATTAATGGGATTCTATTTGAGTGTTTTTTTTTTTTTTTTTTTCTTTTTTTTTTTTTTTGAGACGGAGTTTCGCTCTTGTTACCCAGGCTGGAGTGCAATGGCGCGATCTCGGCTCACCGCAACCTCCGCCTCCTGGGTTCAGGCAATTCTCCTGCCTCAGCCTCCCGAGTAGCTGGGATGACAGGCACGCACCACCATGCCCAGCTAATTTTTTGTATTTTTAGTAGAGACGGGGTTTCACCATGTTGACCATGGTTGGTCTCGATCTCTCGACCTCGTGATCCACCCGTCTCGGCCTCCCAAAGTGCTGGGATTACAGGCTTGAGCCACCGCGCCCGGCCTTGAGTGTTTATCTTTTAAAAGTTTGTTAGTATTTATTAAAGAATATTGAGTTCACAAATTGTATTGAGTTTAAAGTTTGTATTGACATGCAAATTTAAGTGTGATGTAGCAAAGAATTATATATATATATTTTTTTTTGTTTGTTTGTGTCATACATGATTTCTTTCTCTTTTTTTTTCTTTCTTTCTTTATTTGAAACAGAGTTTCACTCTGTTGCCCAGGCTGGAGTGCGAGGTGCCATCTTGGCTCACTGTAATCTCCACCTCCGGGGTTCAAGTGATTCTCCTGCATCGACCTCCCAAGTACCTGGGATTACAGGCACATGGTACCATGCCCACCTAATTTTTGTAGTTTTAGTAGATATGGGGTTTTACCATGTTGGCCAGGCTGGCCTCGAACTTCTGACCTCAAGTGATCTGCCCTCCTCGGCCTCCCAAAGTGTTGGGATTACAGGCGTGAGCTACTGTGCTTGGCCTCTTGTAGAGATTTTTTAACCTCCAAAGTACACTTTTTTTTTTTTTTTGAGATAGTATCTCCCTCTGTCACACAGGCTGGAGTGCATTGGTGCAGTCATGATTCACTGCAACATTAATCTCCCAGGCCCAGGTGATTCTTCCGCCTCAGCCTCTTGAGTGTCTGGGACTACCAGTGTGTACCACTGTGCCTGGCTAATTTTTTGTAATTTTGTGGATATGAGGTTTTGCCATGTTACCCAGGCTGGTCTCAGCCTCCTGGGCTAAAGTGGTCTGCCTGCCTCAACTTCCCAAAGTGCTAGGCATGACAAAATAGACTTCTTTATTCCTGGTAATTTTCCTTCTTTTGAAGTCCACTTTGAAAAATACAGCCATGTCATCTTTCTTACAGTTAGTTTTTCTATGGTGTATATATTGCTTCATCTCGTTAATCTGTCTATATCTTTATATTTAAGGTGGATTTCTTGTGGACAGGTATAGTTGGGTCTTTTTTTTTTTTTTTTAATCTAGTGACTGTCTTTTAATAGGAGTGTTTAGACTGTATACATAGACCATTTAATGTGATTATTATAGTGGTTAGGTTTGAATCTATCTTCTTATTTGTTTTCTATTTATTTTCTTTTTCCTCTTGTACTTTATGTCAGTTGTCATGGATTTTACTTTTTTTTTTTTTTTGAGATGGAGTTTCGCTCTTGTAACCCAGGCTGGAGTGCAGTGGCGCGATCTCGGCTCACTGCAACCTCTGCCTCCTGGGTTCAAGCAGTTCTCTGCCTCAGCCTCCCGAGCAGCTGGAATTACAGGCACCTGCCACCATGCCTGGCTAGTTTTTGTATTTTTATTAGAGATGGGGTTTCACCATCTTAGCCAGGCTGATCTTGAACTCCTGTCCTTGTGATTCACAAAGTGCTGGGATTACAGGTGTGAGCTACCGGGCCTGGCACTTTTTTTTTTGAGAGCCTTGCTCTGTTGCCCAGGCTGGAGGGCAGTGGCACATCTTAGCTCACTGCAACCTCTGCCTCCCAGGTTCAGGTGATTCTCTTGCCTCAGCCTTCCTAGCAGCTGGGACTACACGTGTGTGCTACCATGCCTAGCTAGTTTTTGTATTTTAGTAGAGATGGGGTTTCACCATATTGTCCAGGCTGGTCTCAAACTCCTGACCTTGTGATCCACAAGCTTTGGCCTCCCAAAGTGCTGGGTTAACAGGTGTGAGCCACTGCGCCTGGTCCTGGTTACTTTTTTATTTTTTTTGAGATAGAGTCTCATTCTGTTGCCCAGGCTGGAGTGCAATGGCACGATCTCAGCTTACTGTAAACTCTACCTCCCGGGTTCAAGTGATTCTCCTGCCTCAGCCTCCCAGGTAGCTGGGATTACAGGTACCCACCACCACGCCTGGCTAATTTTTGTATTTTTAGTAGAGACGGGGTTTCACCATGTTGGCCAGGCTGGTCTCGAACTCCTGACCTTATGATCCACCTGTGGTGGCCTCCCAAAGTGCTGGGATTACAGGTATGCACCACTGCACCCAGCCAGCCCTGGTTACTTTTAAGATTTTCTTTTTATCACTGGTTTCAGAAATTTGATGTATCATGTTTCTTGGTACGATTTTCTTTGTATTTGTCCTGCTTAGGTCTAATTGAACTGGGTTTAGAGTTTTCATTCAACTAGGGAAAACTTCTTCAAATTTATTTTTGTCTTCTACTTTCTTTTTTTTTTTGAGACGGAGTTTCGCTCTTGTTACCCAGGCTGGAGTGCAATGGCGCGATCTCGGCTCACCGCAACCTCCGCCTCCTGGGTTCAGGCAATTCTCCTGCCTCAGCCTCCTGAGTAGCTGGGATTACAGGCACGCGCCACCATGCCCAGCTAACTTTTTGTATTTTAGTAGAGACGGGGTTTCACCATGTTGACCAGGATGGTCTCGATCTCTTGACCTCGTGATCCACCCGCCTCGGCCTCCCAAAGTGCTGGGATTACAGGCTTGAGCCACCGCGCCCGGCTACTTTCTGTATCTTTCTGGGACTGTGGTTGCAAGTGTGTTTGAGTGTGTAATGTTCCACAGTTTACTATTCTTAAGTCTCTTTTCATTCTGTGCCTTATTTTGGCCAATTTCTGTTGCTGTGCTTTGAAATTCTCCAATCTTTTTCTTCTGTTATGTCTCATCTTCATAAATAATTAATTCTCAAGGCTGAAGAAGATGGTTTTCATCATTTTAGTTTGTAGGGGCCTGATAAAAAATGGAGAACGACAAGATGAAGAAAGTCTTGGAGGACGGCGCAGGACAGATGCCTTACGCTTCTTGTGTAAAATGAACCCTTCTCAGGCCCTCAAGGTCCGAGGCATGGTGGTAAGTGATCCTGTGTTGCATTAGACAAAGGCCTTTGTATTACATCCAAGAACTATTCTCAAGACGGTTTTAGAGTCCTGTAGAGGTTGGGAATTTTATTTATATACTAGATATGTTACCTCCCTCTCTGGGTTTTTGTGTTTTTCAGGATTTCTTCCTCTAAACTGTAGACACTTTAGATTTGGAAGCATCCTTGCTCTTTTTGCTTATAATACTGAATTCAGTTTGTTATCTTTGTTGTGTTAGGTGGAAGAATGTCACTTGCCAGGCCTTGGTGTGGCTTTGACATTGGATCATACTAAAAATGAAGCTTGCGAAGATGGAGTGAGTGACTTGGTTTGTTTTGTAAGTGGTTTGCTTCTTGGAACAAATGCAAAAGTCCGGACTTGGTTTGGAACTTTTATCCGAAATGGACAGCAGGTGAGGTTTAAATATCTTTATAGGCTAAGGATCAGAATATTTTAGCAGCTAGTAAAAGAGAAAAAACATTTTTTGAATGAAGTCATTAAACCAGTATTTCTCACACTTTCTAGTTTCAGGGACTTCCTTATATTTTAAAAAATCACTGAGGATACCAAAGAATTTTGGTTTATGTGGCTTTTTTCTATTCATATTTATCATATTAAAAATTTACACATAAATATTTGAAATATTTATTTAGTTCTTTTATAAATAGCAACAGTTGATGTGGTGGCATGTGCCTGCAGTCTGAGCAACTTAGGAGGCTGAAGCAGGAAGATTGCTTGCTTGAGCCAGGGAGTTCTAGGGTATAGTGTATGATAATTGTGCCTATGAATAGCCACTATACTTTAGCCTGGGTAACATAGTGAGCCCTCATCTCTCTCTTTTTTTTTTTTTTTTTTTTTTTGAGACGGAGTTTCACTCTTTTTACCCAGGCTGGAGTGCAATGGCGCGATCTCAGCTCACCGCAACCTCCACCTCCTGGGTTCAGGCAATTCTCCTGCCTCAGTCTCCTGAGTAGCTGGGATTACAGGCACACACCACCATGCCCAGCTAATTTTTGTATTTTTAGTAGAGACGGGGTTTCACCATGTTGACCAGGTTGGTCTCGATCTCTTGACCCTGTGATCCACCCGCGTCGGCCTCCCAAAGTGCTGGGTTTACAGGCTTGAGCCACCGCGCCCGGCTTCATCTCTTAAAAAAAAACCCCAAAACAGACAACAATAACCCTATTTTTTTTTGAAAAGATGGGGTTTCACCATGTTGGTCTGACTGGTCTTGAACTCCCAACCTCAGGTGATCCGCCCGCCTTGGCCTCCAAAGTGCTTGGATTACAGGCATGAGCCACCGCACCTGGCCAATAATAACCCTATTAAATGTGAATATAAGGTATTTTAAATGAAAACTGTCTTTTCCCAAACAAAATTTAATGAGAAGAATGATGTTGTTTTCTTTTCTTTTCTTTTTTTCAAATCTCTTCAATGTCTGGCTTCATAGAAGCCTTTGGAAAACCTCACTGTACTTTTGTGAGTAAATGAGAAAAAAAGATAATGTCTGAGTATTATTATTATTATTATTTTGAGATGGAGTTTCACTCTTATTGCCCAGGCTGCAGTGCAGTGGCATGATCTCAGCTCACTGTAACTTCTGCCTTTGGGTTCAAGTGATTCTCCTGATTCAGCCTCTTAGGTAGCTGGGATTACATGCATGTGCAACCACATCTGGCTAAATTTGTATTTTTTTTTTTTTTTTTTTGAGACGGGGTTTCGCTCTTATTACCCAGGCTGGAGTGCAATGGCACGATCTCGGCTCACCGCAACCTCCGCCTCCTGGGTTCAAGCAATTCTCCTGCCTCAGCCTCCCTAGTAGCTGGGACTACAGGCGTGTGCCACCATGCCCAGCTAATTTTTGTATTTTTAGTAGAGACGGGGTTTCACCATGTTGACCAGGATGGTCTTGATCTCTTGACCTCATGATCCACCCGCCTCGGCCTCCCAAAGTGCTGGAATTACAGGCTTGAGCCACCGCGCCCGGCCCTAAATTTGTATTTTTAATAGAGACGGGGTTTCTCCATGTTGGTCAGGCTGGTCTTGAACTTCCGATCTATGTGATCTGCTAGCCTCAGCCTCCCAAAGTGCTGGGATCACAGATGTGAGCCACCGTGCCTGGCCTATGTCTGAGTATTTTTAATACCTTTCTGGACTCCTTGAAAGAATATTGGAAATCTCCAGGGTTCTGGGCCAGACTCATGAGAACTGGTGCATTAAGTCATTGAAATAAGTTATTATATTTTAAAATTTTAATATATATGTGTGTATATGTTTTTATATTGGTAAAATGTACATAACATAAAATTTTGCCATTTAATCATTTTTAAGTATATAATTCAGTGGCATTAAGTATATTCACAATGTGCAATAATTACCACTCTTCCTTTCCAGAACTTTTTTTTTTTTTTGAGACAGAGTCTCACTCACTGTGTTGCCCAGGCTGGAGTGCAATGGCTTGATCTCGGCTCACTGGAACCTCCACCTTCTGGGTTCAAGAGATTCTCCTGTCTCAGCCTCCCAAGTAGGTGGGACTACAGGTGCCCACCACCACGCCTGGCTACTTTTTGTATTTTTAGTAGAGACAGGGTTTCGCCATGTTGGCCAGCTGGTTTCAAACTCTTGACCTCAGGTGATTTTGTGTTTTTAGTAGAGATGGGGTTTCACCATGTAGGTCAGATGGTCTTGAACTCCTGACCTCAGGTGATCTGCCCTCCTCACTTCCCAAAGTGCTGGGATTATAGGCATGAGCTACCATGCCCGGCCTATTTCCAGAACATCCCTAACAGAAACTCTGTACCCATTCAATAACTCCCCATTCACCCCTAACAGAAACTCTGTACCCATTACATAACTTCCCATTCACCCCTATCATCCTACCCCCTGGTAACCTCTATTCAACTTTCTGTCTCTATGAGTTTACCCTATCTGGCTACCTCAAGTAAATGGAATTACACATTATTTCTCCTTTTGTATCTTGCTTATTTCACTTAGCATCATGTTTTCAAGGTTCATCTATGTTGTAGCATGTGTCAGGATTTTCTTTTAAAGGCTGAATAATATTCCATTGTGAATTTAGAGGAGAACTGCCATTCTGTCCAGCAATGCTACTGCTGGGTAGAGAAATCATTACATAAAAATCCCTGCATTTGTATGTTTGTTGCAGCACTATTCACAGTAGCAATCTTATAGAATCAACCTGTGTCCGTCAACAGATGATTGGATAAAGAAAATGTGATACACACACACACACATATGTATATATGTACATAAACACACACATATATATGTATATAAACACACACAAACACAAACACACACAATGTGGAATACAACTCAGCCATAAAAAAGAATGAAATGATGTATTATAGTAACATGGATGGAACTGGGGGCCATTACCTTAAGTGAAATAACAGAAGCAGAAAGTCAAATACTGCATATTCTCACTTATGAGTAGGAGCTAATCATGTGTACACATGGATATAGAGTGTGGGATTATACACATCATAGACTCCAAAAGATGGGAGAGTGGGAAGGGGGTAAGGGATAAGAAGTTACCTGTTGGGTACAGGGTACACTATCAGGGTGATGGCTACACCAACAGCCCAGACTTCACCACTATGCAATAGATCCGTTTAACAAAACTGCACTTGTACCCCTAAATCTATAAAAATGTAAATACAATGTAAAATAATATTCCATTGTATGTATTAACATTTTTTTATTTTTTTATTTTTATTTTTATTTTTTTTGAGACGAAGTTTCGCTCTTGTTACCCAGGCTGGAATGCAATGGCACGATCTCGGCTCACCGCAACCTCCGCCTCCTAGGTTCAGGCGATTCTCCTGTCTCAGCCTCCTGAGTAGCTGGGATTACAGGCACGCACCACCATGCCCAGCTAATTTTTTGTATTTTTAGTAGAGACGGGGTTTCACCTGTTGACCAAGATGGTCTCGATCTCTTGACCTTGTGATCCACCCGCCTCGGCCTCCCAAAGTGCTGGGATTACAGGCTTGAGCCACCGCGCCCGGCTTGTATAAACATTTTGTTTTATACATTCATCTGCTTATGTATATGTATTTTGCAACAGTTTTTAACTTGCAAAATATTTTAAATGTTCAAAAACTAATAACTCTGTGAATAGAGTTCCTATGAAGGAGCTAATATAGATTGCGATTTAACTTGTTGAGGTCACTCAGCCAGATAACATGTGTACTGCTCAGATCCTGTAGTCTTACTTTTTATGCTACTGAATCACAATTTTTAAAAATATTCAAGTTCTACTTCATAGCCCATTTGAAAACTGATTTTAAGCTTTGCTTTTTAAAAGAAAGTTAACATTTATTTATTGGATGCTTTATATATGCCAGGTACTGCATTAAGTACTTGGCAGGCTCATCTTGTTTGTAGTTGTCGTTTTACTGTTATTATTAAAGCAGGCTTATCATGTTTTACTTGGAACACTTAAAAGATAATAACATTTGGCTAGACCTGTGTCATTTAGAACTGCTTTTGTATATGTATTATCTTTTTTTTTTTTTTTTTTTTTTTTTTGAGATGGAGTTTCGCCCTTGTTACCCAGGCTGGAGTGCAATGGCACGATCTCGGCTCACCGCAACCTCCGCCTCCTGGGTTCAGGCAATTCTCCTGCCTCAGCCTCCTGAGTAGCTGGGATTACAGGCACACGCCACCATGCCCAGCTCATTTTTTGTATTTTTAGTAGAGACGGGGTTTCACCATGTTGACCAGGATGGTCTCGATCTCTTGACCTCGTGATCCACCCGCCTCGGCCTCCCAAAGTGCTGGGATTACAGGCTTGAGCCACCGCGCCCGGCTATGTATTATCTTTGTTCATTCATCTACTTAACAAACTGAGAGCTTGCTGTATGTTAGGCACAATGTTAGACTGTGCAGAGTGAAAGATGACTAAGACATTGTCCCTGCCTAAAGAACTGTGGGGGTTATAGAATTGTAAACTCTTGTTTTTTGAAACGAAGTATCACTCTGTTGCCCAGGCTGGAGTGCAGTGGTACAATCTTGACTCATTGTAACCTCTGCCTCCTGGGTTCAAGTGATTCTTGTGCTTCAGTCTCCCAAGTAGCTGGGATTATAGGCATGCGCCACCACACCCAGCTAATTTTTATATTTTTAGTAGAGATGGGGTTTCACAGTGTTGGTCAGGCTGATCTTGAACTCCTGACCTCAAGTAATCTGCCCACCTCAGACTCCCAAAGTGCTGGGATTACAGGTGTGAACCACTGCATCAGGCCAAGAATTGTAAACTCTTAATTATAGGAGTTCTATAAGGTAAATATTGTTGATAAAATATTTCCTTGTCACTAAGGAAATCGGGGTTCAGAGAGGTTGACTAACATACCTAAAAGTATATAGTTATCTAATAGTAGAGCTGGCATTTAAACCCCAAGAACTTGGCTGGGCATGGTGGCTCACGCCTATAATCCCAGCATTTTGGGAGGCCGAGGTGGGCAGATCACAGGTCAAGAGATCGAGACCATCCTGACCAACATGGTGAAACCCCATCTCTACTAAAAATACAAAAATTAGCTGGGCGTGGTGGCATGCGCCTGTAGTCCCAGTTACTCGGGAGGCTGAGGCAGGAGAATCACTTGAACCCAGGAGGCGGAGGTTGCAGTGAGCCGAGATCACATCACTGCACTCCAGCCTGGTGACAGAGCAAGACTCTGTCTTAAAAAAAAAAAAAAAAAACAGCAAAAAACCCAAGAACTTATGTCTTCAAAATCTGAGCATTTTCTCGTATACCACATATCACTTTGTTAGTCTTTATGTATTTGAAAGTACCATTTAAATAATATTCCACAATTCAAATTGTTGCTAATTTAGTCTTTCATTTGCAACCAATCCAAATTAGGGTGAATATTCATTCTTCAAACTAGTGGATTTTTAGTTTGCTTGAATGGTTAAAATGAGATTCTGTAGACATGACAATCTCCTCAAATAGGCCAATTTGAAAGTGTTTAAATGGGGAGCTGTGTTTTAGCTCCTTTTCAGTTTAGTAAATGCGTTATGCTTTCTTCCTCTTATGATCTATATTTCTTACAGAGAAAAAGAGAGACCAGCAGTTCTGTCCTATGGCAGATGAGAAGGCAACTTCTTCTGGAGTTGATGGGCATTCTTCCCACAGTAAGAAGCACCCGAATTGTGGAAGAAGCTGATGTGGACATGGAGCCCAATGTGTCTGTGTATTCGGGGCTGAAAGAAGAGCATGTTGTGAAAGCCAGTGCACTCTTACGTCTGTACTGTGCTTTGATGGGGATCGCTGGACTCAAGTATTCAATAGTTTGATATTTTACCTTTTTGTCATTTTACTTTCTTGTTTCTATTCTCAAGAAAGTGAGTCAAAAGCCTTTTATTTAGAGGATTCAAGTTTTCTGTTCAATCATGAGATTCAACAGAATCTGAGGTAGCAGGCTAGCCTATAAGAAGAAAGAAATTCACGGGCCGGGTGTGGTGGCTCACGCCTGTAATCCAAGCACTTTGGAGGCCAAGGTGGGCGGATCACCTGAGGTCGGGAGTTCAAGACCAGCCTGACCAACATGGTGAAACCCTGTCTTTTTTTTTTTTTTTTTTTTTTTAAATGAATGAAATCCTAAGGCCAAGAATCCCTAGCAGAGATGTATTCATCTATTTTGTTCTGATTTTAAACAGAACTATACAAATATGGGAGGAGCTAGAGCAGTTTATCAATTTCCAATCATAATTTAAAGAAACCTATAATTTCAACACAGCTTGACTAAACTATAGTGAATGATCTGTGGGTGATCTTTTACGTATCCCAGTGACTAGTTGAAGTAAATCTCTCCTTTGTTTCCTTTTACAGTGCTATCATAAATTGTTTAAAATTGATGTGATGTGATTAATAAGTATAGTGTTTCTTTTTTCTTTTTTTTTTTAAAGACAGAATCTCCATCGGTCACCCAGGCTGGAGTGCAGTGGTGGGAGCTCAGCTCACTGCGACCTCTGCCTCTAGATTCAAGCGATTCTCCTGCCTCACCACACCTGGCTAATTTTTTTTTTTTTTTTTTTTTTTTTTTTTAGTAGAGACAGAGTTTCACCCTGTTGGCCAGGCTGGTCTTGAATTCCTTACAGGTGATCTGCCTGCCTTGGCCTCCCAGAGTGCTGGGATTACAAGCATGAGTCACCACACCTGGCCAGTACAGTGTTTCTTATTTAGTTACTATACAGAATCCTTTTAAATAATGTTCTTAATAATTGTGCATACAGTCCTCATTTGCATGTCTCCAATATGCATGAGTTTCAGTTACCTCAGTTTAGTTAAATAATTCTGGTCTTTCCACACGTTCACGTTTCAGTTGCCATTAAGCAAATACTTTATACGTATAGAGTTTGTGAGCTCCTCAGGCCGCATATCACTAAGTAAATAACAGATGTACATCATGATTAGTGACCAATGGCATCACTTCTTTCAAAGTCTGTCTGTGACTGGTTACTGCACAGCTGCTATTTGATTCATGCACATAGAGCAGAATAGGTAAAGGTCAAATATCCCTTATCTGAAATGCTTGGCACTAGAAGTGTTTTGGATTTTAGAACTTTTCAGATTTTGGAATGTTTGCATTATACGTACCAGTTTAGCATCCCTAATTCAGAAATTCAGAAATCCTTAATGCTCCAATGAGCATTTCCTTTGAGCTCATTACTTCATGGTAGCACTCAGAATGTTTTGGATTTTTAGGACATTTTATATTTTGGATTTTTTGGATTGGGGATACTCAACCTGTATTGCTTCCTTTCTCTCCATAATAAACCCATGTTCCAAAACATGGAAACAGTTTTTGGAACATTATCTTCCAAAAACAGATAATTGGAAGAGGAAATTGGCTAATAAAGATGAAAGTATAGCAAGGAAACAAAAGATGGTAATGCTGAAAATGACATTTGAACCAAACATAAATTGAAGAAGTAGTTGACTCTGAGAATGTTGACGCTGCTACCGTTTGAGAGATCCCAGATAAAATAGCCAGAGGAACTTCGTGAAGGTAAACCTGTTGACATAAATGAGAAGAGTGAATGTGACCAAAGAATGAATATGTTCTAGAGAATAGGATCTTGGCCTGAATTTTTACATTAAAAGAGCTTGCAGATATTTCGTGACTGAAAGTACAAGGGATAAAATATTGGCAGCTGATCCAAATTTGGAGGAGACTGACAATTCACCAAGGATAGAAAAGATGCTCACTGGGCCAGGTGCAGCGGCTCACGCCTGTCATCCCAGCACTTTGGGAGGCCGAGGCGGGTGGATCACGAGGTTGATAGATCGAGACCATCCTGGTCAACATGGTGAAACCCCGTCTCTACTAAAAATACAAAAAAAATTAGCTGGGCATGGTGGCGCGTGCCTGTAATCCCAGCTACTCAGGAGGCTGAGGCAGGAGAATTGCTTGAACCCAGGAGGCGGAGGTTGCGGTGAGCCGAGATCGCACCATTGCACTCCAGCTTGGGTAACAAGAGCGAAACTCCATCTCAAAAAAAAAAAAGATGCTTACTTCATGTTGTACATTATATAATCACAGGAAGGAGGCAAGGGCTGTTTAAGCTACTCTTTTTTTTTTTTTCTTTCCAAGACAAACTGTATCCAGCTTTATTAAAGATACTTTCCATAAACAATCATGGTATTTCAGTTAGGACATGGGCAGACAATCGTTAACAGTATACAACATCTTTCAAACTCCCTTAAACTACTCTTGATAAAGTTTTTACGAAGAAATAGAACCCTTTTACGGCTGGGTGCAATGGGTCACACCTGTAATCCCAGCACTTTGAGAGACCAAGGCTTGTGGATCAGTGAGGTCAGGAGTTCGAGGCCAGCCTGGTGAACATGGTGAAACCCATCTCTACTAAAAATACAGAAATTAGCTGGGAGCGGTGGCCAGTGGCTGTAGTCCCAGCTACTCAGGAGGCTGAGGCAGGAGAATTGCTTGAACCTAAGGTGGAGGTTGCAGTGAGTCGAGATTGCACCACTGCACTCCAGCCTGTGCAACAGGGCGAGACTCCATCTCATTAAAAAAAAAAAAAAAAGAAAAGAGAAAAGAAAAGAAAACACTTCGATTTCCAATGTTTTTAATATTTTCAATGAGAGTACTATAAAAATATTAGTTTTACTATTTAAAAAAAAATTCCTGGCTAGGTACAGTGACTCACACCTGTAATTCCAGCACTTTAGGAGACCAAGGTGGGTGGATTGCTTGAGCCCAGGAGTCTGAGACCAGCCTGGGGAACATGGCAAAACCCTTTCTCTAATTAAAAAAAAATAGAAAAAGTTAGCTGGGCATAGTAACGCATGTCTGTGGTCCCTGCTACATGAGAGACTAAGGGGAAAGGATCACTTGGGCCTGGGAGGTCAAAGCTGAAGTGAGCTCTGATCCTGTCACTGCACTCCAGCGTGGGTGCCAGAGCAAGACCTTGTCTCAAAAAAAAAAAAAAAATGCTTATGCATTATAATCAACACAGTTTTTAATGTTTAGACAAAAATGTTAAAGGCTACAGTACAATCATAATTTTCACTATTGATTTTTAAGATAAAGTTGCATGATTTCAGCTCGCATGGTCATTTTTATGGTCTCATACTACAGGGCAAAGTAAGGAGTGCCTGTATCTGTGTCTACAGTAAAACACTATAGTTGTAATTTCTCAACAGTTCTGCATTGACAATTTGAGATGTTAAAGATTTGATAAATAGTGAGTTATCATTATAAAGTTTAAAATTTGTATCTAAAAGGTTAAAAATTCACTTTTTCTTCTTCCTTCCAACTAAAAATGTAAAGCCTGATGATGTATTCCCTTTTAGACCAACTGAAGAAGAAGCTGAGCAATTACTGCAGTTGATGACGAGCCGTCCTCCTGCTACGCCAGCTGGAGTTCGCTTTGTTTCACTTTCCTTTTGTATGCTACTGGCCTTTTCTACACTTGTCAGGTACCTAACTCTATAAATCGCTCTATTTTCTCAAGGTCTACTTTTATTTACTCAATAAAATGCGTGTATAGTATTAGATAAGAGCTTTCTACAAAAGCTGGTCTAGGTTGGACAGTTGTAGTTTTGTTTTTTTCCAGCTTTTAAGAGAAGGGGTCTTCCTTTGTTGCCCAGGCTGAAGTGCAGTGGCTATTCACAGGTATGATCACAGCACACTGGAGCCTTGAGCTCCTGGCCTCAAGCAATCCTCCTGACTCAGCCTCCCAGGTAGCTGGGACTACAGGTACATGCCACTGGTCCCAGCTTATTTGTGTGTGTTTTTTTAAAATATAAAGGTATCAGTAGCATCTGATTCATTTTGTTTATTAAAGTTTTATATGTATATTGTTAAAAGGACTTAAGAGTTCTTGATTTGTTAAGGCTAATAGCAGTCCATCCTTCCTTCCCCACTTCCTATTTCCCATTTCAAGTGTTTTTCAATTCTTTTAGCTGTTTATTTTTAGTTTCACCGCTACATCTGTAATAACATGTTTGTATTTGATACCTCTTTGATTTTTGCTTTTAGTTATTATTTATTGAGTTCCCTCTATGAAAGATGAGAAATTAGCTCTCTTTCTTTTTTTTCTCTGTCCTAAATACATCCATACATATCCTTCCTATCTTCTCATTCTTCTAGTACAGTTATAATAATTTAGAGTAGATCAATATGTAGTTGTTATGATTATGTAAACCACTGACAGCTCAACCATGTATTATATAATTATTTTTTACTTCCTTGTGAAATTTATTTTTTGGAATATTTATCCTGTGTTTTTGTTTTGTGCTTTTAACTTTCTTCGTGTTGTGTGTACCATTCATGTAACCTCAAACTCTGCCAGTCTAAATCTTCTCTCCAGATGTTTTGACTCATTAGGTGTCTATCAATTTCATCTTCTTGAGGAGATTCCTTCAGGAGCATTTTGATCTGGAGTGGTTACCAGTTATACCTGGTAGTACAAAGTACTCATCATTTTGGAGACTTGCTTCATATCTCCTTTGCTGGATCTCCTGTTTTACCTCATGTCATCATTTTAGCCAGGCATGGTGGCTCACACCTGTAGTCCCAGCTACTCAGGAGGTTGAGGAGGAAAGATCACTTGAGGCCAGCCTGGGCAACATAGTGAGACCCCTGTCTTTGTTCAAAAAAAAAAATTAAAAAGAAAACCTATCCTTTTATTTGCTTGCGCCGTGATCATGTTATCATCTTTTTTCATCGCTTCCTTATTTCGCTGCTTTTTTTTTTTTTGAGATGGAGTTTCACTCTTGTTGCCCAACTGGAGTGCAGTTGCATGATCTTGGCTCACTGCAACCTCTGCCTCCCAGGTTCAAGTGATTCTCCTGTCTCAGCCTCCTGAGTATCTGGGATTACAGGCACCTGTCACCATGCCCAGCTAATTTTTGTATTTTTAGTAGAGATGGGGTTTTACTATGTTGGCTAGGCTGGTCTCGAACTCTTGACCTCAGGTGATCCACCTGCCTCCGCCTCCCAAAGTGCTGGGATTACAGGTGTGAGCCGCTGTGCCTGGCCATTTTGTTTCTTTTTCTTTTCTTTTCTTTTTTTTTTTGAGACAGTTTCGCTCTTGTTACCCAGGCTGGAGTTCAATGGTGCAATCTCGGCTCACCGCAACCTCTGCCTCCTGGGTTCAAGCAATTCTTCTGCCTCAGCCTCCCGAGTAGCTGGGACTACAGGCACGCACCACCATGCCCAGCTAATTTTTGTATTTTTAGTAGAGATGAGGTTTCACGTTGTTGACCAGGATGGTATCAATCTCTTGACCTCGTGATCCACCAGCCTCGGCCTCTCAAAGTGCTGGGATTTACAGGCATGAGCCACCGCGCCCCGCCCCCATTTTGTTTCTTTAGAATGGGTATGTGTGAAGTAAATTCTTTTTGAGAATGGATATTTCTGTAAATATCTTTGTTCTACTCTGTCATCTGATTTGATAGTTTGATGGGGTATGGAATTCTAAGTTGGAAATAATTTCCTTTCAGGATTTTGAAGGTGTTGCTCCATTGTCTTCTAATTTCCAGTGTTGTTAAGAAGTCTGACATTCTGATTCCTGGTCCTTTATGTGGCCTATTCATTTTTAATATGGTAACTTGTAGGATTAGCTTTTTGTCCCTAGGGTTTTGAAATTTCTGGATGATATGCCTTAGTCTGAGTCTCTTTTTGTCTATTGTCCTAGGCATTCAGTAAGACCTTTGAACCTGCAAACTCATGTCCTTCAGTTCTAAAAATTCCCCTGAATTAATTTGTTGTTAATGTTTTCTTCTTGGGTGTTCTCTGTCTGAAATCTCCTTTTATTTGGAATTGGATTTTTTGAAATGATTGTCGTATTTTCTTATTCTTTCCTCTTTTTCTTTCCCTCATCTTGTTCTGCTTTTTAGAAAACGGCTTTATTGGGCCAGGCGCGGTGGCTCACGCCTGTAATCCCAGCACTTTGGGAGTCCTAGGTGGGTGGATCACAAGGTCAAGAGATCAAGACCATCCTGGCCACCATGGTGAAACCCCATCTCTACTAAAATATAAAAATTAGCCAGCTGTGGTGGTGTGTGTCTGTAGTCCCAGCTACCCAGGAGGCTGAGGCAGGAGAATTGCTTGAACCTGGGTTGCTGAGATTGCTGAGTCAAGATCACCCCATTACACACTCCAGCCTGGGCAACAAGAGCAAAACTTCTTAAAAAAAAAACAAAAAACCGTTGGCCGGGCGCGGTGGCTCAAGCCTGTAATCCCAGCACTTTGGGAGGCCAAGGCGGGTGGATCACAAGGTCGAGAGATCAAGACCAACCTGGTCAACATGGTGAAACCCCGTCTCTACTAAACATACAAAAAATTAGCTGGGCATGGTGGCGCGTGCCTGTAATCCCAGCTACTCGGGAGGCTGAGGCAGGAGAATTGCCTGAACCCAGGAGGCGGAGGTTGCGGTGAGCCGAGATCGCGCCATTGCACTCCAGCCTGGGTAACAAGAGCGAAACTCCGTCTCAGAAAAAAAAAAACAAAACAAAACAAAAAAAAACAAAAAAACAAAAAAAACGAAAAAAAAAAAAAAAAAACCGCCGGGCGCGGTGGCTCAAGCCTGTAATCCTAGCACTTTGGGAGGCCGAGGCGGGTGGATCACGAAGTCAAGAGATCGAGACCATCCTGGTCAACATGGTGAAACCCCGTCTCTACTAAAAATACCAAAAAAAAAAAAAAAATTAGCTGGGCATGGTGATGCGTGCCTGTAATCCCAGCTACTCAGGAGGCTGAGGCAGGAGAATGGCCTGAACCCAGGAGGCGGAAGTTGCAGTGAGCTGAGATCGTGCCATTGCACTCCAGCCTGGGTAACAAGAGCGAAACTCCGTCTCAAAAAAAAAAAAAAAAACCTCCTTAAGATTTTAGAGATACAGTGAAAAAGAAAAAGAAAGATTATTTGAGTTTCTTCTTCAAGATCACACTACTAGTAATAAGCAAGATGGGATTCTCACTCAGGTGTGGTAGGCTGTAAAGGCTGTAATCTTTCTACCGCATAACACTATTTTTTATTAGTTGTATGGTCTAGGTATAGCTGAGAAGGATCTTTTTAATTTTCTTAGTTTTTAGTAATAGAAGAAGCGTATTTTCATTTGCTTTTTGTTTCACCTATTTTTACTGCATGAGGTGGAAAGAGATTGGTGAAAAATTTTTCACAAGTCAACATTAGCTTCTACCTTTCAATTTAAAAATTAGTGCTGGGTTTGGCAGCTCACGCCTGTAATTCCAGCACTTTGGGAGGCCAAGGCGGGTGGATCACCTGAGGTCAGGAGTTTAAGACCAACCTGGCCAACAGGGTGAAACCCTGTCTCTACTAAAAATACAAAAATTAGCTGGGCGTGGTGGCAGACCCCTGTAATCCCAGTTACTTGAGAGGCTGAGGCAGGAGAATCACTGGAACCCGGGAGGCAGAGGTTGTAGTGAGCTGAGATTGTACCGCTGAACGCCAACCTGAGCAACAAGAGTGAAACTGTCTCTCAAAAAAAAAAAAAAAAAAAAAAAAATTAGGAATTCCCTTTAAATAGTCATTATTAGGCTAGGCATGGTGGCTCACCTCTGTAATCCCAGCACTTTGGAAGGCTTAGGCGGGAGGATCACTTGAACTCAAGAGTTCAAGACCAGACTGGGCAACATAGCAAGACATCCTCTCTGCTAAAAATAAAAAATATTAGCTGGGTGCAGTGGCGCACGCTTGTAGTGCCAGCTACTTGGGAGGCTGAGGTGGGAGGATTACTTGAACCTGGGAGGTTGAGGCTATTGTGAGCTATGATTGCACTACTGCACTCCAGCCTGGGTGACAGAGCAAGATATTGTTTCAAAAAAAAAGTCACTTTGTTTTTATAGCCATTTTTCATATCTGGTAAGCCTGTGACTGCCTTTTTTTTCATGATTAGTAATCATTTATTTCTCTATAATTTAGAATTCTACTCATAAGGTTTCTGTAAATTAAATTTCATTTTCCCATAGGATGGAGTGCTCATTACTGTCTGGCACTAGTTTGCGGTATTTTGATGCTTAACTGTTAACACTAGATTTTTTTCTTTTCTTTTTTTTTTTTTTTTTTTTTGAGACGGAGTTTCGCTCTTGTTACCCAGGCCGGAGTGCAATGGCGCGATCTCGGCTCACCACAACCTCCGCCTCCTGGGTTCAGGCAATTCTCCTGCCTCAGCCTCCTGAGTAGCTGGGATTACAGGCACGAGCCACCATGCCCAGCTAATTTTTTGTATTTTTAGTAGAAACGGGGTTTCACCATGTTGACCAGGATGGTCTCGATCTCTCGACCTTGTGATCCACCCGCCTCGGCCTCCCAAAGTGCTGGGATTACAGGCTTGAGCCACCGCGCCCGGCCAACACTAGACTTTTTTCTATATGAAGTAAGTATCAGCTGTTTTAATAGGTTAATCCCAGAGACCTTTGTTTTCTGAGGAATGTGAGGAAGCTTACTCTTTCCAACCTGTGAAAGCAGTAACTAAGACTTTGAGAGGGGATCCATGAAAAAAAGCAAAGGTCCTCATTCTTAAGCTCTAGAATTACTTCATATCTCAATGACAATTAATGGCCCAATTCAGCAAGCCATTAATTTGACTTGATATTTGAAAATAGGACTGGAAAAATAGTTTCTACCAAAAATAACTTCAGAATGCTTTTTATTCATATACTAGTATATCTAATTTAAACCAGTGACATTCTGGTATGTTTTATATAGTACGCCTGAACAGGAACAACTGATGGTGGTGTGGCTAAGTTGGATGATAAAAGAAGAAGCGTATTTTGAGAGGTAAGATAGTTTGATTTAGTTAGTTGAGAAAGCTTTTCTTCTTCTGTCTTTGGAAAATTCATATTTCTTATTTTGTTTTGACAGTACTTCAGGCGTCTCTGCTTCTTTTGGGGAGATGTTATTATTGGTGGCTATGTACTTTCACAGCAACCAGCTTAGTGCTATCATTGACTTGGTCTGTTCCACTTTGGGGATGAAGGTAATTTTCTTTTAAGTTCTTTCTAAAAAGAAGGGGTTTCTAAGTTGGACATTTTATTGTACTGTATTGTTTTCACTTAAGTAATTTTAGTTGTTTAATAGAAGTTTCATCAGGAGCACTTAGAAAAAAATGCATTTTGAAACATTTATTTACTAAAATAATAGATACTCACGCAAAAACCTTGGAAAGCACAGAAAAGGGAAAGATAGAATTCCAGGATTCAGAGATACCTAGTATACTACTATTAATATTCTGATGTCTGTTGTTTCTTTAAAGTGACGTACGTATGTTGTGATGTAAAAAACTAATATATGATGAGCATTTACTCATATCAATAAATATTCTAATAAAATATAATTTTTTTTTTTTTGAGACGGAGTTTCGCTCTTGTTACCCAGGCTGGAGTGCAATGGCGCGATCTCGGCTCACCGCAACCTCCGCCTCCTGGGTTCAGGCAATTCTCCTGCCTCAGCCTCCTGAGTAGCTGGGATTACAGGCACGCGCCACCATGCCCAGCTAATGTTTTCTATTTTTAGTAGAGACGGGGTTTCACCCATGTTGACCAGGATGGTCTCCATCTCTTGACCTCATGCTTCACCCGCCTCGGCCTCCCAAAGTGCTGGGATTACAGGCTTGAGCCACCGCACCCGGCCCAAAATATGATTTTTAATGGCTTCATAGTATTACAGTCCATTGTTTGATCTTCTTACTGGATCCCTTATTATTTCCCATGTAGATTTTTTAGTTTCTGTATAATGCTTAGACGAATATCCTCGTTTATGTAAATACACACATAGGCACTCACACATGTATCTCTTCATACATCTGTTGGATCATTTTCTCAAGATAAATTTCTAGAAGATGATTGCTAAGGAAAAGGGTATAACTATGTTAAGGTGTTTCATGAGTACTGCCAGATTATATTTTAGAAATATTTTATCAGTTTAACTGTTATCATTAGTGAGTGAGAACTCCTGTTTTCCTAAACTCTCAACATGACTGAGCATTACTATTTTTTTTAATATTTGTAAATTTCATTGATAAACAGTGGTCTCACTTATTTTGCATTTCTGTGATTACTAGTGAAACCTGAGTATTTAAAATCTGTGTGTTTTGACTGGTTTATTTCTTTTGCGAAAAGCTTATCAGTATCCTAATTTTTCTGCAGGGATTTTGATTTTTTTTTTTTTTTTCACTGATTTAAAAGGAAAGATATACCATTATATCTTTTACATCTTACTTCATATATTTCAAGACATATATTTCACTCAATATTGAAACTGGGGCTAACGCCCTTTTCGGCCTTAGCCCACCTGCACCCAGGTGAATAAACAGCCATGTTGCTCACACACACACACACACACACAAAAGAAACTGGGATTCATTTTCAGTTGCCATGTAATGTGAAAGTGGTAGTGTTCCAACTCGTACTTTTTTTTTCTTGAAAAGCTACTATAATATTAAGTCAGTGATGTATATCACAGTATCTTTAAAAGTGGAGAGTTCAATATGTTGTAATTGACTTTTTTCAGTCGTTTTTGCCATTTATCCTTGCCATGTGGAAATTATTATCATTATTATTTTTATATAGTATATTAAGTGTTCTTTTTGTGGTTTCTATTTTGCTCTTATGCTTAGAAATGTTTTCCTTTCTTGGGTTTATGTAAATGATCACTTACATTTTCTTCCGGTTTTTTTGGTGCTTTCATGTTTTACATTTAAACATTTAATCTACTTGAGTGCTTTTGTTGTATGGTGTGATATGTGCAATAAGTGTGTGTGTGTATCTGTGTATACATATATACGTCTATTTTTCGGTGTATATATGTGTATATACAGATGCACACACACACATATATATTTCTCTTGACCTCCCAGAGGGGTAGCTATCCCAGCTCCAAGTAGTATATAATCTGTTTCCCCTAGCTGACTGAAAATGGCAATAATAGTCTTTATTAAGTGCTTTTTATATTGGTTCTAAGTATTAACATTTTAATGTTGGATTGAGACAGCACTTCTAAAACAGAGTAGAATACTTGAACATTTGAACATTAATGTATATCACAGCCATTTTAGATAAGTTCCCTGGAATAAATTGTGTTTCATATATTTTATTTTTACATGCTGTTGGAATTCTTTTGGTAATTTTAGATTGTAATTAAGCCAAGCTCCTTGAGCAGGATGAAGACGATCTTCACACAGGAAATTTTTACTGAGCAGGTAATTCTTTTTATTCTTGGGTACTTATTTAGCTTTCTTTTACAATATTCTTTGGGAGAAAACTTGTGTGTCTTACCTTAAGAAAATAATATGGTCTGTTTTCTTTTTAATCACTCCTGATGATTTATTTCATCATTGAAACTTTCTTAAAGAATAATCCATTTAAAAGACACTTTTAAAATTACTCATAACATACCAAAGCATCTTTTAAATTTATATGTTTTTGGAGACTTTGAGTAGATAGTGATTAGCATACTCTTAGATGTCAATGATAGGTCATCTCAAGGGGCAATCATTTTAATGTGTCTGGAGAAAAATAAAATGAAGACCTATTTAAACCTTTAGGCTGTAAGATTCATTTCTAACTAGATTACAGGCTAGAGTCTAAATTTCTTATTCTTATACTTAACATGTACTTAGCCTTAGCACTTTTGTCCATGGATAAGCCTAAGGATTCTTTTCTTTTCTTTGTCTCACCCTGTCACCCAGGCTGGAGTATAGTGGCATGATCATAGCTCACTGCAACCTAGAACTCCTGGGTTCAAGTGATCCTCCTGCCTTAGCCTCCCAAGTAGCTAGGACTACAAGTGTACACCACCACATCCAGCAAATTTATTTATTTATTTACTTATTTATTTAGAAGAGATGGGGTTTAGCTATGTTGCCCAGGCTGGTGTTGAACTCCTGATCTCAAGTGATCCTCCTACTTCAGCCTCCCGAAGTGTTGGGATTACAGGCATGAGCCATTGTACTTGGCCAGGATGTTTTATTTTTCAGTGAAGGATTCTATTCTAAAATTTTTTTTTCTTTTCTTTTTTTTTTTTTTTTTGAGACGGAGTTTCACTCTTGTTACCCAGGCTGGAGTGCAATGGCGCGATCTTGGCTCACTGCAACCTCTGCCTCCTGGGTTCAGGCAATTCTCCTGCCTCAACCTCCTGAGTAGCTGGGATTACAGGCACGCGCCACCATGCCCAGCTAATTTTTTTGTATTTTTAGTAGAGATGGGGTTTCACCATGTTGATCAGGATGGTCTTGATCTGTTGACCTCGTGATCCACCCGCCTCGGCCTCCCAAAGTGCTGGGATTACAGGCTTGAGCCACTGCGCCCGGCTTCTAAAATTTAAAATTAGTTCCCAGATTCACTTGTTAATTTAAATCTTAAAATATAAGAAGTATGTATGTCTTAAAAAATGAACTACTTGAGTGAGTACTCATGGATCCATAATTTTGATTTTTTATGACTATTAATATCTTTATTCCTATATTGTACTCTCCCTCTCACCCTCAACATGTATATGCACCTCCTAAATTACCAATAGTCATACAGCACTTGGGAGAATCATATGTTATTTTTTGCCTTTAAATTTGAACTAATTGGAAGGCAACTTTGAAGAAGGTCTTTAAAAAACAATTAGAGGCTATGTATGACATATTGAAAATAAATATTTCTATTTATATTTATGTGGCGCTTTATAACTCATATGATGTTTTTCCAAAAAGAATATTTTCCCCTCATAACAATGCTTTGAGGCAGGTGTGGCAGTGTCCTGTTTTGTAGATGTGAAAAAGATTCAGATGATAAAGTGACTTCCTCAAATCATTGAGCCCAGATCGTATGCTTCAAAATTTTATTTTTTTAACCTTCTCACATCACTGTGTATGTATCTATGTTTAAAAACAAAAAATTGGGGAATTATGTAAATTCCTAACTGTACATTTCTTCAGCATTCAAAGACAGTTAAAACATGTAATAATTGATTTTCATCATTCATTTCTAGTGACCACACTTGTGTTAGGTGTTGGCAGTCTACTTACTAATCCTCTCTTTTTCAAAATAATTTTATATTTAGTTCTATTATATTACTAATACTATTTTTCCCTTTTAGGTTGTCACTGCTCATGCAGTTCGGGTCCCTGTCACCAGCAACCTGAGTGCCAACATTACTGGATTTTTGCCTATTCATTGTATTTACCAGCTTCTCAGGAGCCGTTCCTTTACCAAGCACAAAGTGTCAATAAAAGTATGCCCCTACAAATAAGCAAAATAAAAGCATGACCCTACGTTTATTTTTCTTTTTTATGTTTTTTGAGGTGGAGTTTTGCTTAGTTACCCTGGCTGGAGTGCAGTGGCCCAGTCTTGGCTCAATGTCACCTCCGTCTCCCGGGTTACAGTGATTCTCCTGCCTCAGCCTCAGCCTCCCAGGTAGCTGGGACTACAGGTGTGCGCCACCATGCCCGCTAATTTTTGCATTTTTAGTAGAGACGGGGTTTCACCATGTTGGCAGGCTGCTTTCAAACTCCTGACCTCAAGTACTACTGTGATCTTGGCCTCCCAAAGTGCTGGGATGACAGGCATGAACCACTGTGCCTGGCCTATATTTATATTTCAAAGAACAACCTAAATTAATGCTTTCTCCCCAGTTAGTTGTATGTCAGTTTGTAGCCTTTATTGTGGGTTTTATGTAGGAAATGTCTGGTATTAAGCTAAGTTACTAGTCATTTATGTAAGTATAGTAATTAGGGGTATAGTTATAATTATGTAGTTATAATAATACAGTAATTTCAGATTTTTAAAACAGTATAACATTTTCAAAATGTATAATACTCCATTTAAATTCTCAATAATGACACATGGCTATTTCATGAATACTTAGAAACTGCCATTTTCTAATTTTTATTTTTTTTAGACATGGTCTCATTTTGTCGCCCAGGCTAGGGTGCAGTGGCATGATAATAGCTCTCTGTAACCTCAAACTCCTGGGCTCAAGCAATCCTCCTGCCACACCCTCCTAAGTAGCTGGGACTACAGGTACGAGCCACCACATCTGGCTTTTCTTTTTTTTGAGACGAAGTGTCATTCTGTTGCCCAGGCTGTAGTACAGTGATGTGATTTCAGCTCACTGCAACCTCTGCCTCCCAAGTAGCTGGGATTACAGGCTCCTGCCACTGTGCCTAGCTAATTTTTTTTTTTTTTTTTTTAGTAGAGACAGGGTTTTACCATGTTCCCCAAGCTGGTCTCAAATTTCTGACCTCAGGTGATCCACCTACCTCTGCCTTCTAAAGTGCTGGGATTACAGGTGTAATCCTGGCCTCATACCTGGCATAAAAGGTGTTTTATGTAGAGACAGGGTCTCCCTATGTTGCCCAGGCTGGTCTGGTCTTGAACTCCTGGTCTCAAGCAATTCTCCTGCCTCGGTCTCTCGAAGTGTTGGGATTACAGGTGTGAGCCACTGCAATGGGCCTGGTTTTGTTTTACAAATTAGAGAAGTTGCTGGTCAGCCGTGACTAGTATTTTTCGATTTATCACAAGGACACCTCACACCTAACTTAAAATTTAGATGTTTTGATTTGTCTTAGTTGGCTATATCTACCAGTTAAAAGGTCCTCTAAAGAGAAGATTGAAACCCAGGAAGTGAAGTAGTCTGAACCTTTTTCAGAGGCTCTTTTATTTATAAAGAACAGTGAATAATATATACATTATATATCACTTTTGATTGTCCCTTGTTTTTTCTGATTTTGTGAAATTATTTTCCAGCTAGATTGCATCTTCTGCTGCTTTATATTTTTAGCAAGTAAAATAGTTAAGAAGTCAAATGCACACCCAACCTTTTACATGTCCTCCATTCAACGATAGTTAAGTCATAGTCTCTGTAAGTGCCTGTCAGAGACACTTTCTTAGTCTCTTTGAGGGTTTGCTGTGAAGGACCTATCTCTCTATCCAAATTCCTGTCTAATGTGAGCTCTCCCATGATGACACATATGGTGCTTTAAATACAGATATGGTAGGGACTTAAAATGTTTTTCCCACTACTTAAAAACTAGCAGATTAAACCCAAAGCAAGCTTCAAGTGGAAGGTACACCTAAGATGATACAGATATAAAAGTAATTCATATTTTAAAATCAAAGGCAATTATGATACTAGATAATAATTTGGAACTGCCAAAAGTTAATAGTTTTACTGATTCATAGTTGATGTAAAACTGTATGTACTTCTATAATTTTGCTTGCTTTTTCTTTTTGCCACAATTAATTCAGTGTCTATAACATTCTTTCTTAGGATTGGATTTATAGACAGCTGTGTGAAACTTCTACTCCACTTCATCCTCAGTTACTTCCTTTGATTGATGTGTACATAAATTCCATACTTACTCCTGCATCGAAATCTAATCCACAAGCCACAAATCAACCAGTCACGGAACAGGAGATACTCAATATTTTCCAAGGAGTCATTGGGGTAAAATAGTGGTTCTTTTATATCTGTTAGCTTATTTTTCTTTTAATTCTTCTGACTTATCCCATATTCTTATTTTCCTATCAGAGGACTTCTAGGTAGTTCTGAATTTAAAATAAGATTAAATTTTCTTAGAACACCTGTAAAAATTAAAAGAATGGTATTAGTTCCAAGTAGTTTGGTAAATAGGCACTGTGTAAGAATTTTTGTTGTTGTTGTTGTTGTTGAGATGGAATTTCGCTCTTGTTGCCTAGGCTGGAGTGCAATGGCCCGATCTTGAGTCACTGCAACCTCCAGTTCCTGGGTTCAAGTTATTCTCCCTCCTCAGCCTTCTGAGTAGCTGAGATTACAGGTGCTTGCCATAACAACTGCCTAATGTTCTGCATTTTTAGTAGAGACAGAGTTGGCCAGGCTGGTCTTGAACTCCTGACCTCAGGTGATCCACCCACCTTGGCCTCCCAAAGTGCCTGGATTACAGGCATGAGCCGCCGTGCCTGGCTTCAGCTTCCTACGTAGTTGGGACTCTAGATGTACATCACCACACCTGGGTAATTTTTGTATTTTTAGTAAAGATAAGATTTTACCGTATTGTCCAGACTGGTTTCAAACTCCTGACCTCGAGCGATCTGCCCGCCTTGGCCTCCCAAAGTTCTGGGATTATAGGTGTGAGCCACTATGCCTGGCCAAGAATTTTTTTTGTTTCATTTTAAGTCTAAAGGGTGCCCTGGAGATTGTGTGTTTGATCCAGTTACTGTGTGGGATTTCAATACATTCAACATAGCTTTGTTCAGCATCCTGGGAATCTAAGCTACACCTAGATTCATTTAGGGAAATTTTTTTTTTTTGAGACAGAGTCTCTGTTACCTAGAGTGTAGTGGCCACAATCTCAGCTCACTGCAAGCTCTCCCTCCTAGTTTCAAGTGATTCTCATGCCTCAGCCTCCTGAGTAGCTGGGATTAAAGGTACGCACCACCATGCCTGGCTAATTTTTGTATTTTTAGTAGAGACAGGGTTTTATCACGTTGGCCAGGCTGGTCTCGAACTCCTGACCTCAGGTGATCCGCCTGCCTTGGCCTCCCAAAGTTCTGAGATTACAGGCATGAGCTACTGCTCCTGGCTTATTTAGGGAGAATTTGATGACAGTATTTTTTCCCTAGTTTGTTAAAAGGGAAAACAGTTGCATTTTTCACAAATATAGTTAAGTATAAAATATGTAAGAATTCTTTTCTTCATGGTAATTTTATATAATACTTGGGATTCTTGTCTTTCAGAAGCAGCCTGATGGGTTTGCTATTGAATAGTAGCTGAAGTCTTTTCTTTGTCTTATCTTAAAGACCACCTAGGCGTGTTGCCTTTCATCTCTCATGCCGTCTCAGATTTCATGTTGTTTCTTTGAGTTTAATACAAACACAGCAACATTTCTCCTGTTTTACCTGAGTTAGGAGCAACAATGCTGAATAGTCTATTTTGATTCTTTTACTACCAAGAAAAGAAAAAGCACTCATGAAATTCAACAGTGTTTAAAAGTATTTATAATATTACCTCCAGGGTGACAACATTCGCCTTAATCAGCGTTTCAGTATCACAGCTCAGCTTTTGGTGCTCTACTATATACTGTCTTATGAGGAAGCTCTTCTAGCAAACACAAAGACTTTAGGTAAGTTATGCATAGAGGAGTGGTTCTAGTGGTAGTATTTTATTAGCTTGTATTTTGTTACTTTCCAAACTGCTTTTTGATAAAAGAAGGGCAATATTCAAACAAACTCTAGTATCGTTTTATCATCTTTGCAATGTGGGCATTGTATAATTGATACATAAATCAGGCATGTTTGGGTACATAACCACAATTTATGGCTCAATCCTCCTTATAGTAGTCCAAATTAATAGATAACAGAATTGCCTATATTTTAACAGTTGTATAGGTCTTATTTACTAAATATAAATTTAAAAGATAAACCTGATGGAGCTGTAACTGAATTTTTTTCTTGATTTCAGTCTTTGCCTGGTCTCCTTCCATTAGTGTGAAGAGTAACAACCTAATAAAAAACAATAGAAAAGGCTGGGCACGGTGGCTCACGCTTGTAATCCTAGCACTTTGGGAGGCTGAGGTGGGCAGATCACTTGAGGTCAGGAGTTTGAGACCAGCCTGGTCAACATGGCAAAACCCCGTCTCTACTAAAAATACAAAAATTAGCTAGGCATGGTGGCTCATGCCTGTAATCTCAGCTACTCAGAAGGCTGAGGCAGGAGAATTGTTTGAACTCAGGAGGTGGAAGTTGCAGTGAGATCATGCTTTTTAAAGATGAAAGAGCTAGGAGAATGTTTATATGGTGTTGGGAATAATCTAGAAGAGAGGGAAGGCTTGGTGATGCAGGGGAGGGACAGTTCCTGGAGTGATGTCCTTGATAGGTGGAAGTAGATGGGATGTAGAAGACAGTTGGAGGGATTGACCTTGCCTTAGGGAAGCCTTCCTCCTGGTTTAGGAGATTTTTTTCTAGTCTAGTTTCTCATCTCAAAGGGGAATAAACAGCTGCATGCTGTGTCATGGCATGAGTGAGTTTTGCTCTTCTTCAGCCAAAAGTATAATTATTCTGCCTCAGATTTATTCCTGGCAGCCAGGTGTGGTGGCTCACACCTATAATCCCAGCACTTTGGAAGGCTGAGGCAGGTGGATCACTTGAGGTCAGGAGTTCGAGACCAGCCTGGCCAACATGGTGAAACCCTGTCTCTACAAAACGTACAAAAATTCACTGGGTGTGCTGGCGCATGCCTGTAGTCCCAGCTACTTGGAAGGTTGAAGTGGGAGAATTGCTTGAACCCGGGAGGTGGAGGTTGCAGTGAGCTGAGATCGCGCCACTGTACTGTAGCCTGGGTTGCAAAGCAAAACTCCATCTCAAAAAAAAAAATTATTCCTGGCTATGAAATTGTGTTGTAGCTTCAATAGCTTGCTAACTATTTCATGGTTTTATAATAAACATTATTAGGAGCTGCTAAGTAGCTACAGAAGATCAAATAGGGAATGCTGAAATTTCAGATAAAGCCAAGTATTAGTATCAGAATTAGAATACCATAGCCATTAAAAATAGTGTTTGTGGGCCGGGCGCGGTGGCTCAAGCCTGTAATCCCAGCACTTTGGGAGGCCGAGGCGGGTGGATCACGAGGTCGAGAGATCGAGACCATCCTGGTCAACATGGTGAAACCCCGTCTCTACTAAAGGTGCAAAAAATTAGCTGGGCATGGTGGCGTGTGCCTGTAATCCCAGCTACTTAGGAGGCTGAGGCAGGAGAATTGCCTGAGCCCAGGAGGCGGAGGTTGCGGTGAGCCGAGATCGCGCCATTGCACTCCAGCCTGGGTAACAAGAGCGAAACTCCGTCTCAAAAAAAAAAAATAGTGTTTGTGTATATATTTTGATTTGTTTAAAAATATTTATAATAAATGTGTGTATATTAGTTTTAGTTAAATAGTGATTAAGTATTGATCGAAAAGAATAATATAAATCCCTGTATACCTAGTTAAAATATGAACGTTACCATTACAAGTTTTTATTTTTTATTTTTTTGTATTTTGAGATGGAGTCTTGCTCTATCACCTATGCTGGAGTGCAGTGGTGTAATCTTGGCTTACAGCAACCTCTGCCTCCAAGGTTCAAGCGATTCTCCTGCCTTAGCCTCCTGAGTAGCTGGGACTCCAGGTGCATACCACCATGCCCAGCTAATTTTTTGCATTTTTAGTAGGGAAGGGGTTTCACTGTGTTAGTCAGGATGGTCTTGATCTCTTGACCTTGTGATCTGCCCGCCTCAGCCTCCCAAAGTGAGGTTACAGGTGTGAGCCACTGCACCCGGCTCATTTCAAGTTTTTATGATAAAAAAAATTGTTTCCTTTTTATTACACCTGAAAACATTATTACTAGGTAAAACTGTTTATTTTTAGATATTTTTGAAGTTTAAGACAGTAGTAATTAATACTGTACATAAAAGGAACTATTTGTTTCTGTAACCAGTAGAATCATAAACATGATTATTCTCACTCTTTTAGTAGCTAAAAATTTTACTTATTTAACTCACCCTTAAGTTTCACTTCATTTATAAATTTTTAATTTTTCTTCTGTCCTTCTGTTACGTGTGAAATTTCCTTCTTGGTCACCAGCAGAACAAGACACATCCTATGGTACTTGGGAAACTGTTATGTTTGCTGGCTCTAAATTCTGAACTTGAATTTTTTCTTTGCTCTTGATAGTTAATTATTTTCTTCTGAGAAGAGAGTTATTCCATCTGCCTCTTTGAAAATGCAGGAGCTTTTAAGCAAATGTTGACAGATGTTACTTCTTTACAGCTTAAAGTTTCTGAGCTGTAAAATACAGAGTTAAATCAAATTTTGACAAAAAAGGGTTCTAACGGTTACATGACTGTATTGTAGAGTAACAGTTTAATAATTTAAGCTTATTTCATTGCTTACCTAGTTTACATATCTAACTTTATGTAAAATAGCTGGTTTTAAAAATAAAAATGTTTATTAAAAAATATGTCTACTGGGTTAGGCACAGTGGCTCATGCCTGTGATCTCAGCACTTTGGGAGGCCCAGGCAGGAGGATAGCTTGAGCCCAAGAGTTGAAGATCTGCCTGGGCAACATGGTGAAACCCTGTCTCTACAAAAAATACAAAAATTGGCTGGATGTGATGGCACGTGTCTGTGGTCCCAGCTACTTGGGAGGGTGAGGTAGGAAGATTGCTTGAGCATAGGAGGTTGAGGCTGCAGTGATCTGTGATTGTGCCATTACAGTCCAGCCTAGGTGACAGTGAGACCCTGTCTCAAAAAAAGAGAAGTGTGTTTGCTAGAGAAAATGTAGGAAATGAGAAAAGAACTAAGCATACACCATCTGTAATTCTACTGCCCAGAGGTAATCACCATTAGAAGTTCAGTAGAAAACCTTTCAGTCATTGCATATGTGATAGCTTTTGCAAAGTTGAAATTACTGTATCTATCTATCTATCTATCTATCCATTCATCCACACACACACACTCTCACATATATACACACACACACCCATACATATATACGTATGTATATATGTATTTGTTTTTCTTGCTTCCAGTGGGGTCAGATATAATGTATATTTTTATTTACTCTATTTTTTTTTATTTTTTATTTTTTTATTTTTATTTATTTTTATTTTTATTTTATTTTTTTTTTGAGACGGAGTTTCGCTCTTGTTACCCAGGCTGGAGTGCAATGGCGCGATCTCGGCTCACCGCAACCTCCGCCTCCTGGGTTCAGGCAATTCTCCTGCCTCAGCCTCCTGAGTAGCTGGGATTACAGGCACGTGCCACCATGCCCAGCTAATTTTTTTAGTATTTTTAGTAGAGACGGGGTTTCACCATGTTGACCAGGATGGTCTCGATCTCTTGACCTCGTGATCCACCCGCCTCGGCCTCCCAAAGTGCTGGGATTACAGGCTTGAGCCACCGCGCCCGGCCTTATTTACTCTAATAATACATTTAAACATTTACCTGTTATGGTAATTAAAAAAAATCTTAACTAGCTACATAATATTTTCTCATAATTATGTACCATTAATTTTTTTTTTTTTTTTGGAGACAATGTCTCACTCTGCCACCGAGGCTGGTGTGCAGTGGCACGATCTCAGCACACTGCAGCCTATGCCTCCTGGGTTCAAGCGATTCTCACACCTCAGCCTCCTGAGTAGCTGGGATTACAGGTGTGTGCCACTATGCCTGGTGAATTTTAGTATTTTTAGTAGAGATGGGGTTTTGTTGTGTTGGCCAGGCTGGTGTCGAACTCCTGACCTCAAGGGATCCACCCTCCTCTGCTTCCCAAAGTGCTGGGATTACAGGTGTGAGCCATCGCACCTGGCCACATTACTTGTAACAAATTCCTTATTGTTGGACATTTACATTATTCCCAAGTTTTGTCATTATAAACAGTTGAAGAATGAATATTCCTAGAGCTAGCTCTGTACACAGTCATGATTATTTCTTTCTTTAGGACAGATTCCTCGGTGAACTGCTAGGTTAAAGACTGTGAAAAATTATATGATTTAAAAAATTATTTTTATTTTTTTTAGAGACAGGGTCTCACTCTGTCTCCCTGTAGCCTCAAACTTATTGGCTCAAGTGATCCTCCTGCCAGCCTCCTGAGTAGCTGGGACTATAGTTACATGCTACCACAACTGGTTGATTTATTTTTATTTTTATTTTCCTTAGAGACAGGGCTATGTTGCCCAGAAACTGTAAGTTTTTCTTTTCTTTTCTTTTCTTTTTTTTTTTTTTTGATACAGAGTCTTGCTCTTTTGTCAGGCTGGAGTGCAGTGGGGCATGATCTTGGCTCCCTGCAACCTCTATCTCCCAGGTTCAAGCAATTCTCCTGCCTCAACCTCCTGAGTAGCTGGGATTACAGGCACATGCCACCATGCCTAGCTAATTTTTGTATTTTTAGTAGAGATGGGGTTTCCCCATGTTGGTCAGGCTGGTCTCGAACTCCTGACCTCGTGATCTGCCCGCCTCGGCTTCCCAAAGTGCTGGGATTACAGGTTTAATTTTATTTTTTCATAATTGGTTATTAACATTACATACCTGTCATTTTCCTATGACTTTAGAGGACTGCTTTTACGTATGTCAAAGTATTATTAAAAACCTATATCTGTTTCTGGATTTTTTTTTTTCTTTTGAGATAGAGTGTAGCCCAGGCTGGAGTGCAGTGGCATGATCTCAGCTGCAACCTTTGTCCCCGGGTTCAAGTGATTCTCCTGCCTCCACCTCAGGCATGTGCCACCACACCTGGCTAATTTTTGTATTTTTAGTAGAGACCGGGTTTCACCATGTTGGCAGGGTGGTCTCAAACTCCTGATCTCAGGTGATCCACCTGCCTCAGACTCCCAAAGTGCTAGGATTATAGGTGTGAGCCACTGCACCCGGCCCAGATTTTCTTTTTTATGTTTGACATTTTCTGTGCCTTTGACCTTGTCAGTTCTTGTTTGGAATTTCTGTCTATTCTTACATATTTAATCTTTCTGAGAACTTTATAATGATTTTGTTAAATTTCACAAATGAAAATTATATTGGGATTTTGAGAACAATTATGTTAAATTTACGGATTATTTTAGAGAGAATTTACATCTTTAAGTCTTCGTATATAGAAACATGAAATAATTTTGCTGCTTTTTAATTGGACACATGTATGTTTGCTCTTTTTTTTTTCTTGAGACAGAGTCTTGCGCTGTTGTCCAGGCTGGAATGCGATCTCAGCTCAGTGCAACCTCCACCTCCCGAGTTCAAGTGATTCTCCTGCTTCAGACTCCTGAGTAGCTGGAATTACAGGCACCTGCCACTACGCTGGCTAAATTTTGTGTTTTTAGTAGAGATAGGATTTTACCGTGTTGGCGAGGCTGGTCTAGAACTCCTGACCTCAAGTCCTCTACCCACCTACCTGCGCCCCCCGCCGTCCACCTCCCCGACCTCCCAAGGTGCTGGGATTACAGGCGTGAGCACCGTGCCCTGCCTTTGTTTACTCTTACAGTTAACTCATGTAAGCCCTCATAACAGTTCTGTAAGATAGGTGGTGGTGTGTTTATTTGACGAGGGAGAACACTGAGGCACAAGGAAGTTAAGTAACTTCCCAAAGTTAGTATTAAGTATTGTAGTAAGTATTGGAACCAGGATTTGACTATTTCTGGAACCTGTAACTATCGTTTTAACTGCCTTCGGATGCTTTCTTAATTCATAAAAGATTCGTATTAAAAACTATGCTAATTTATTGAAAAGGAGATTGTATCTAAACAAGAATATAGGCTGGGTGTGGTGCCTCACACCTGTAATCCCGGCACTTTGGGAGGCTGTGGATCACCTGAGGTCAGGAGTTCGAGACCAGCCTGACCAACATGGTGAAACCCCCGTCTCTACTAAAAATACAAAATTAGCCGGTGGGGAGCGGGTGGTGGCGCATGCCTGCAATCCTAGCTACTCAGGAGGCTCAGGTGGAGGTTGCGGTGAGCTGACATTGCACCATTGTACTCCAGCCTGGGTAACAAGAACAAAACTCCGTCTCAAAAAAAAAAAAAGAGAGTATATGATATATATGTGGTCTATATAGACAGTGATTCTTAACCTTTACTCTAACACTTACACTTTCATACTTCTTGTCCTTAAACGAAAAATGGTTGAGCTTTACTGTTTGTTGTTTATAAAAGAGTAAACATTGTATATCCTTTTTCGAACTACAAACACCCTGATTGAGATTCTCATATATTCTTGTGGTGTAAAGGAAAGTACCTTGAAATGAGATTTGGGTGCCAGGCATATAGAATATGGTAGAGATGAGACAGAGATAGTGTTGACTGGCAAGGACATTTACTTTGTATGATCTGAGTATTCACTGAAGGTGGCCAAGTATATATTTAAATAAGAGGACTATGGCCATTGGGTGAAGGATATATTAAATTGGAGACAGGGAAGGTGGGCCATAGAAGATATTTAAACAAAGGGTGAGTAGGCACTGAATTAGGATAGCAGCAAAAGTACAGAAATTAAAATGGACTTAGAAGGGAAAAAAAGGGTAGACATGGCTGGTTGAAGGTAGGAGTTATGAGAGAAGGAAGTCCAATTCATATTGCCTAACTTAATTTAAAAAGAATTAGGTTGGGCATGGTGGCTCACTCCTGTAATCCCAGGATTTTGAGAGGCCGAGGCTGGTGGATCACTTGAGGTCAGGAGTTTGAGACCAGCCTGGCCAACATGGCAAAACCCCATCTCTACTAAAAATACAAACCTTAGCTGGGTGTTGTGGTGGGCACCTGTAGTTCCAGCTATTTGGGAGGCTGAGGCACAAGAATTGCTTGAATCCAGGAGGTGGAGGTTGCAGTGAGTCAAGATTGAGCCACTGCACTCCAGCCTGTGTGACAGAGTGACTCGGGGAAAAAAATGTCAGTCACCACTAATGTATATAATGTGATAACATTAGCTGATGGCTCATGCCTGTAATCCCAGCACTTTGGAAGGCTGAGGCGGGCAGATCACCTGAGGTCAGGAGTTCGAGACCAGCGTGGCCAACATGGCGAAACACCGTCTCTACTAAAAATACAAAAATTAGCCTGGTGTGGTGGTCGGTACCTGTAATCCCAGCTAGTCAGGAGACTGAGGCAAGAAAATCACTTGAACCTGGGGGGTGGAGGTTGCAGTGAGCCAAGAGCACACCACTGCACTCTAGCCTAGGTGATAGAGTGAGATTCTGTTTCAAAAAAAAGGAACCGTAATTTTTTTTTTTTTTGAGGCAGAGTCTCACATGTTTTGCCCAGGCTGAAGTACAGTGGCATGCTGTCAGCTCACTGCAACTTCTTCCTCCCAGGTTCAAGTGATTCTCCTGCCTCAGCCTCCTGAGTTTCTGGGATTACAGGCTCCCACCACCACACCTGGCTAATTTTTGTATTTTTAGTAGAGATGGGGTTTCACCTTCCTGGCCAGGCTAATCTCAAACTCCTGACCTCAAATGATCCGCCTGCCTCAGCCTCCCAAAGTGTTGGGATTACAGGCGTGAGCCACCATACCCAGCCACAGTTTCTTTTTATAAGATGCATTGGAATCATGAAGCTCTAGGCCATATGTTCATGATCACATTTGATCTTCCCAATTAGATTTGGGAAAAATCTTGACTCATTTGTTGGTTCTTTAATGTAGGACAGTTTTGCACATGGCTTCTCTCACCTGTTATGAATTTTCTTCTGACTAGTTTTCAATTTTAGGGCATTTTCCAGATCTTGCCCCAGGTATGTTCTTATTCTTCCTGTGTAGCCACTTGTTTTCATAACATTCTTTATCTTTTATATGCTATATTTGCAGTTTAAGTGCATTAAAAGTAATTTGACATTGTTTTTGTTTCCATTTGGATTGAAGGTTAAGACTGCTGTTGTTTCTGGACATATTATTTATTTTACACTTTTTTTAATCTTTGATAGCTGCCATGCAAAGAAAGCCAAAATCATATTCTTCTTCTTTAATGGATCAGATTCCTATTAAATTCCTTATTCGACAGGCTCAAGGGCTGCAGCAGGAGTTGGGAGGTATGTTTTATTTGCATTTTATTGCTAAAGTTTATTGTTAAAAAAGCCTTACTGTTTATAATGTTATAAAGTGTAATAGGTTCTTAATGTAAAAAATTTGGACAATTCAGGAGTGAAATTCCTCTTTGCTTCCCTCGGTAAATCTGTTACTTCAGTTATTGTAAACAACCCTGCCCCCTAAAACACAACCCTAGGTGTTTTCAGTTTGGTATATATTTTCACTCTTTTTCCTCCTATAGGTTGAACTGTGTGAAATTGCAGGTATTCAACTAATTTAGAGCTACAGAAACAGCAGGTTTATGTGGTCGAACCTAGCAGATACTTATACAAGTTAAAAAAATTTTTTTTCTTTTAAACTCTGAAGAGTATTGTACCCTGCCTCTTTTTTTGTTTGTTTGTTTTTGTTTTTGAGACAGTGGCTCACTCTGTCACCTAGGCACAAGATCTTGAGTGGCATGATCTTGGCTCACTGTAACCTTCACCTCCTGGGTTCAAGCGATTCTCATGCCTTAGCCTCCCAAATAGCTGGGATTACAGGCATGTGCCACCATGTCCATCTAATTTATGTATTTTTAGTAGAGACAGGGTTTCACCATGTTGCCCAGGTTGGTCTTGAACTCCTGGCCTCAAGTGACCTGCCCACCTTGGCCTCCCAAAGTGTTGGTATTACAGGTATGAGCCACCACACCCAGCCTCCCCTGCCTCTTCTGCGGCTTTTTTTCTTGGAGTCTTGAACATTTTTACATACCGGTACAGGTAGATCTGCCTTACTGTTTCTGATTGTTTCGTATTCTATAGTATGGATATATTGTAATATTTTTACTATACATCATATTACATAGAAATATAGTCGTGTTTTTTGAAATTAGATATATATATATTTCATATATATATATTTCATATATATTTCATATATATATATTTCATATATATTTCATATATATATATATATATATATATATATATTTCTTTAGGGAAAGGGTCTTACTATGTTACCCAGGCTGGAGTGATCATAGCTCACTGTAGCCTCAAACTCCTGGGCTCAAGCATCCTCCTACCTTCACCTCCCAAGTAGCTGGGACTACAGGCCTATGCCACCATGTGTAGCTAATTTTCTAGAGACTTTTCTTAATTAAATACCTCTTATAATGTTTGAGTGTGGGTGTTTTTCTTTCTGTTAAGTTGGAATTTTCTTTTTCTTTCTTTTTTTTTTTGAAACGGAGTTTCACTCTTGTTGCTCAGGCTGGAGTACAGTGGTGTGATCTCAGCTAGCTTCAACCTCTACCTTCCAGGTTCAAGTGATTCTCCTGTCTCAGCCTCCTGAGTAGCTGGGATTACAGGTGTCTGCCACCAAACCCAGCTAATTTTTGTATTTTTATTTCTTTTTTGAGATGATGTCTCACTTTGTCTCCCAGGCTGGAGTGCAGTGATGTGATCTCAGCTCACTTCAGCCTCCACCTCCCAGGTTCAAGTGATTCTCCTGCCCCAGCCTCCCTAGTAGCTGGGACTAAAGGTGTGTGTCACCACGTTCGGCTAATTTTTGTATTTTTAGTAGAGACCGAGTTTTACTATATTGTCCAGGCTGGTGTTGAACTCCTGACCTCAGGTGATCTACCTGCCTCGGCCTCCCAAAGTGCTGGGATTACAGGCATGAGCCACCGCACCTGGCCTTAATTTTTGTATTTTTAGTAGAGATGGCATTTTGCCATGTTGGCCCAGCCTGTCTCAGACTCTTGACCTCAGGTGATCCACCCTCCTTGGTCTCCTAAAGTGGTAGGATTACAGACGTGAGCCACCGTGCCTTTTTCTTTCTTTATCATGGTTGGTTTCAAGGAGAAACATAAGCCTTCACTGGTCATTGTTAGCTAGATGTCTGCAGCGTTTATTTACTTATGTCTTTGTATAATCTTTTTTTTTTTTTTTGAGACGGAGTTTCACTCTTGTTACCCAGGCTGGAGTGCAATGGCGCGATCTCGGCTCACCGCAACCTCCGCCTCCTGAGTTCAAGCAATTCTCTTGCCTCAGCCTCCTGAGTAGCTGGGATTACAGGCACGCGCCACTATGCCCAGCTAATTTTTTGTATTTTTAGTAGAGACGGGGTTTCACCATGTTGACCAGGATGGTCTCGATCTCTCGACCTCGTTATCCACCTGCCTCGGCCTCCCAAAGTGCTGGGATTACAGGCTTGAGCCACCGCGCCCGGCTTTTTTTTTTTTTTTTTTTAATTAGAGACAGGGTTTCATCATTTTGGTCAGGCCAGTCTTGCACCCCTGACCTCAAGTGAAGAGCCCCACTCAGCCTTTCAAAAGTGTTAGTATTACAAGTGTGAGCTACTGTGCCTGGCCTCTTTGTATAATCTGTTTCCAAAAAATGTTATTTTTAACAACATTTGGCAATTGATAATGCTTTATTGAAAAGTATGAAATGTCGATAAGTTTACACTTTCACAAGCAGTCTTTTTTGTGCTGGTTGGGTACAGTTTTAACTGTACATATATTCCTGTATGCATTTAGAAATTCAAATGTTAAAATAATGCCATTTTTTATTGTTACAATGTCTTTTCTTTCTTTCTTTCTTTTTTTTTTTTTTGAGACAGAATCTTGCTCTATTGCCCAGGTTGGAGTGTAGTGGCGCGATCTTGGCTCACTGCAACCTCTGCCTCCCGGGTTCAAGCAATTCTCCTGCCTCAGCCTTCCAAGTAGCACCTGTCACCATGCCCAGCTAATTTTTGTATTTTTAGTAGAGACAGGATTTCACCATGTTAGCCAGGCTGGTCTTGAATTCCTGACCTCGTGATCCACCTGCCTCGGCTTCCCGAAGTGTTGGGATTACAGGCATGAGCTACTGTGCCTGGCATACAATGTCTTTTCAAACACAGAAACATCAATTTTAAGTTGTTTCTATGAGAAAGGAATTGGATATTTTCTCTACTGGGATTAAGCAGTGGTATCATTTGATTTGCATAATAAGGGGATAATTAGATCTCGAGTACTTTGATTCCTACTACTACTGCATAGTCTTACTATTCTGATGATGATGATAATAGTGTGATAGCAACAATATTTATTAGGTACTTATGTACGAAGCACTTAGCATCGTACTTCATTAATTCATTAAGGAGACATTTTTATGGTGTCATAATTTTTTTTTTTTGAGACAGTGCCTTGCTCTGTCACCCAGACTGGAGTGCAGTGGCATGATCTTGGCTCACTGCAACCTCCACGTCCCAGGTTCAAGCACTTCTTGTGCCTCAGCTTCCCGAGTAGCTGTGATTACAGGTGTGCACCACCACTCTTGGCTAATTTTTGTATTTTAATAGAGATAGGGTTTCTCCATGTTGGTCAGGCTGGTCTGGAACTCCTGACCTCAAGTGATCCATCCCCCTGGGTCTCCCAAAGTGCTGGGATTACAGGCATGAGCCACCGCACCCGGCCTCTCATTATTAACATTATACATAATAGTCGTGAATAGTCAAACTGTGATATAGGTAAAATGTTATAAACAAGGTTTTGGTTTGGTAACAGGAAGTTTTCTTATTTCTTTTGAACTCCTTTAACTCTGCTTGAACCAAGAAAAAATACCCCCTGTTGCGGGTATCATCAGTACTGCTTCTCTTGGCTGACATACGTAGCTGTGTGACTTTGGGGTTGTTAATATTAATAAATGTCTTTCAGCCTGTTTCGTTCCTTACAATAGAGTGGAGGCATTGTTTACTTTGTATGAATGTTAGGGAGAGGTGAAAAAATGGACATAAACTACCTGAGACCTTTTAGGTATTCAAAGTGGGCAACTAATTTTACACATCTATAGCGATGATTCTCAACAGGGTTAGAGGAAAGGGCATGTTATCTACAGAACCCTATCAGTGTTTCTGAGTAGGACCTTTTCCGAATCCTATATGATAGCCCACAAATGGACATTATTTTTTCTTCCTTTTCTTTCCTCTTCCCTGAACTCTTGAACCATTGCTATCTCAAACAACTTTAAGAGACTGTTATGTTGCGTGGGGTGGAAGAAAGTTGAAAGCTTTCTATATAAGTAGTAGTTCCCTGCTCACTGTTTATCATATTACTTGGGGATCTTCATTTAGGCAGTTTCCTTTGCTCAGACTACTGTACAGAAGTTCTTAAACTGTAGTTTGCATGCACAAGAAGTGCACATTCCCAGGGCTCCATTCCAGAGATCTGATCTAGTCATCTGGGATGGTATTCATCATTCTGCACATGAAATAAACTTTCCCAAGCTTATGATGCTAGTGGTGCCCTAATCATTCTTTGAGAAACACTAACTTAGAGTATAATTCTCTTTCCTTGTGGGCTGATAGCTTGATAAAAATGAGAGGGGTGGGCAAGCTTCTGGTGTTTGAGCATAAAGAATCCAATTGATTTCCTGTAAATTTTCAAGGGTTGCATTCAGCTTTACTACGTCTCCTTGCTACTAACTACCCACATTTATGTATTGTGGATGACTGGATCTGTGAAGAAGAAATCACAGGGACTGATGCCCTGCTACGGCGAATGCTCCTGACTAATAATGCTAAAAATCATTCTCCCAAACAACTCCAAGAAGGTACAGTAAATTGTTGATACTCCTTTAACCCCTTTTGTAGTACAAGGAGATGCTAGGCTAATTAAAATCTTACAATCATACAGAACTTTCCAGTGGATATAACAATGTTTTGGTGAATATATTTTAAGTATATAAAATACTCTTTGGGTTTAAGGAATTTTAACCATTTCCTTCCTTCCTTTTTCCTTCCTTCCCTTTCCTTTTTTATTTATTTATTTTTCTGTCAGCCAGGCTGCAGTGCAGTGGCATGATCTCACCTCTCTGCAACCTCCAGCTCCTGGCCTTAAGCAATTCTCCTACCTAAGCTCCACAAGTAGCTGGGACTATAGATGTGAGCCACCAGACCTGGCTGATTTTTTTTTAGTTTTTGTAGAGACAATGTTTCACCATGTTGCCCAGGTTGGTCTCAAACTTGTGAGCTTCAGTGATCCTCCCGCCTTGGCCTCCCAGAGTGCTGGGATTACAGGCATGAACCAAATGAGCCTCGCCAGGAATTTTAACCATTTATTTCTGATGTGCTTGTATCTTTTCTCTCATAGGTCCTGTATTATATCACTAAAAAGGTGCTGTGGTTTTAGAAAGGTTCTAAACTGATTAGAAGTAAGTGTAGTGGAATAGGACTGTGTACTTGCTGTTAATGGAGGATGTTTTAGATCAGCACTGTTAAATAGAAATATAATGCGAGCCACACCTATAAACTTTCCAGTAAAAAGAAACAGGCAACAGCAATTTAAATAATAATTTTATTTGACCAAATATGGCCAATATTATTTCTTTTTTCTACCCCCACTTTTTTTTTTTTTGAGACACAGTCTTGTTCTGTTGCCTATTCTGGAGTGCAGCGGCACAATCTTGGCTCATTGCCTCCCAGGCTCTAGCAATCCTCTTGCCTCAGCTTCCCCAGTACCTGAGACTACAGGTACATGACACCATACCCAACTAATTTTTGTATTTTTCGTAGAGAAGAGGTCACTGTGTTGCCCAGGCTGGTCTTGAACCCCTGGGCTCAAGCAGTCTGCCTGCCTTCGGCTCCCAAAGTGCTGGAATTAAAAGCATGAGCCACCATGCCTGGCCTGCCAATTATTTCACTAAGTAATCAATATTAAAATTTTAATGAGATATTTTACCCCTCACTACACTCCTGCACCTAGTCTGCAATCTGTTGTATATTTTACACATATAACAACACACCTCAATTGGAGCTAGTTATTGCAGGTGCTCAATAGCCAGATGTGGTTAGTTAGTGATTATTGGAGAGCATAGTTCTAGATATTTTTTAGTAACAGCAATCTTCTGGGTGCTTACATCCTGTAAAGGGGGCCACCTGGAGGAAAGTATCAAGAAGTTTGAACCTTTCAAATGAATGTTAGCTATCAAAAGCAATACTTCAGCATATTTTCCTTTCAGTCCTGTTTTTAAAATTACCCTGGGCTGAGTGCAGTGGCTCATGCCTGTAATCCCAGCACTTTGGAAGGCCAAAGTGGGAGGATCACTTGAGGCCTGGAATTCAAAACCATTCTGGGCTCTTAATTGGTAAGGGCAAGAGAAACAAACAAACAAACAAAAAAAGACCAGCCTGGGCAATGTAGCAAGACCCCATCTCTAAAATGAAAAAATAAATAAAAAATAAAAGCAGTCTGAATCACCAAGAAAATGAGATTAGTCTTTGGGTCAGTAAAGTGATTTTTTTTTTTTTTTGAGACAGGGTCTCACTCTGTTGCCCAGGCTGAAGGCTGGAGTCCAGTGGCAGGAACAAAGCTCACTGCAGACTCCATCTTCTGGGCTTAAGGGATCTTTTCGTATCAGCCCCTTGAGTACCTGGTATTACAGGTACACCACCACATCCAGCTAATGTTTTTTACTTTTTGTAGAGATGTGGTCTCGCCATGTTGCCCAGACTAGTCTTGAACTTCTGGACTCAAGCAGTCCTCCTGCCTCAGCCTCCCAAATTTTTGAAATTACAGGTGTGTGCCAACACGCCCATCCCATTAATGTTATTTTTTTAAAAAGATATTTTCATTCTTTATGAAAGAACAACGACATCTCCATGAGTTTTTCTTAGGGCTCTTATTCTTTAATTTTTTTTAATTCTTTATGAGATGGGGTTTTGCTCTGTCACCCTGGCTGGAGAGTGCTGGCACAATCTCAGCTCACTGCAATCTCTGCCTCCTGGGTTCAAGCGATTCTCCTGTCTCAGCCTCCTGAGTAGCTGGGATTGCAGGTGTCTGCCGGCATGCCTGGCTCATTTTTATATTTTTAGTAGAGAGGGGGGTTTCACCATGTTGGCCAGGCTGATCTGGAACTTCTGACCTCAAGTGATCCACCCACCTGAGCCTCCCAAGGTGCTGGGATTACAGGTGTGAGCCAACGCATCTGGCTGGCCCTTATTTTAATAAATTTAGTTGAAACTGTATCTAGGTTTCCATAGGAAATAATAGCAAGTAACTATAGTTACTTTTTAGCCAAATTGTTTTCTTGATTTGTTTGGCCTATAGTCTGAGAGAACAATATTACTTCCTGCTTGATAAACTGTATAGAATTTAGATTATGATTGCTAAATTTTCTTTTTAGCATTTTCAGCTGTCCCAGTAAATCACACACAAGTGATGCAGATTATAGAACACTTGACCCTACTCTCTGCCAGTGAACTTATACCATATGCAGAAGTGTTAACATCTAATATGAACCAGCTGTTGAATTCAGGGGTTCCACGGAGAATTCTTCAAACAGTCAATAAACTATGGATGGTTCTTAATACTGTGATGCCCAGAAGGTAAATTCAGTGTATTGTTACATGTAATAGATAATTTTATAGCAGTAATAATATACAGTAACCTAAACTTAATTATTGAAAAAATTTTTCACAAGACCACTTATAGAAGTATTTGTTGAGTATATGGCAATATCTCCTTTCTGAAGCCTACTAAATAGTTCTTGTATCTTTAAGTAAAAGTAAACTTTATTGAAATAGAAGCCACAAATAACTATACATGATAACCCAAGTTTCAAGAACTTCCTAAAGTCGGAAACATTACAGTATTTCCAACTTTAGGAAGTTCTTGAAACTTGGGTTATCATGTATAGTTACTTGTGGCTTATTATGATTTAGATTACTGTTGTATCTTGCATCTTTGCAGTTGTTCCAAGTTTTGCTACACATTAAAATCACCTGGAGAGTTTTTACCACTGCTGATCCCCAGGTTGGAACCCACACCAATTAAATCAGACCGTGGGTGGGAGTTAGGCATCAGTACTTTTCAAAAGGATTCCCCAGGTGATTTCAGTGTGCAGCAAAATTTGTCTTTAGTCATTGGGTCTCTGCTGGTTCACAGATGGCATCAGTAACACCTGGACAGGTCTAGCAAACAATACTGGGCTTGAGTTAACTGAGATTTTGATTCGGTAGGCCTGGGTGGGATCTGGTAATATTTATACTTTGGAAATGTAATTTTTACTTATGTCAGTAAATGCACATAGCTTAAGAAGTTAAATAGTATGTAAGGTCTGCCTCACACTTTTCTATTTTTGACTTTAGCTTCCCAGAGACAACCATTTTCAGCTCTTTTATCTTTTTATTTGGCATTTATATCCTCCCCATGTATCTCGTATAATGACTGTGATTTCCTGATTTTCCAATTTAGAAATTATCTTGATTTTCTACTCTACATGGTGAAGCTTAGTTAGCTCTCTTCTTGCTTCCTCTCCTGTGAGTCCCACTTCTTCTAATATGCTTTTCCCCTTTTCCTGCTTCTCCCAACACAGGTATATTACAATTTTTGTTAAAGCAGTATTTAATGTGCATATTATTATTACTACAGAAGTGATTTCATAATTGAGTTATGTGATGATACTTTGATTATAATTTCATTCTTATGCAAGTGCCCTTCCCCATACTCAGCGTATACCCTGGGTTAGTTAATAGTTACCTTGTTTTCATTTGCTCAGTTTTTTTTAAATTGGTTTCAATAACTAATTACTAATTAATCCCCAGGCTTCATTATTGAGGGGATATTTACTTCACAGTTAATTGTAACACATCAGAAAATGTATCATTAACATTTTTTTGGACGGGTGCATTATCTCATGCCTATAATCCTAGCACTTTGGGAGCCTGAGTGGCGTGGATCATTTGAGGTCAGGTGTTCAAGACCAGCCTGGGCAACATGGTGAAACCCTGTTTCTACAAAAAATACAAAAATTATCAGGGCATGCTGCCGTGTGCCTGTATTCCCAGCTACTTGAGGGGCTGAGGCAGGACGATTGCTTGAGCTCAGGAGGTCGAGGCTTCAGTGAGTGGAGATTGTGCCACTGCACTCCACCCTGGGTGACAGTGAGACCTTGTCTGAAAAAAGACAAAAGAAACACTCTGTTTTTTTTCTTGGAGACATTCCTTTCATAGCTTTCTGTCTTCATGTTCCCATCTGGCACATACACATTTGCCATCCTAGAATTGCTATTGTTACTCTTCTTTGTTGGATTCCATATTTTTCTCTTTCTTATAGCATTACTTGTATCCTGAGATTCCATGTTTTTCTCTTTCTTATATCCTCATTTTAGTGAATGGAACACACACTCATCTTGCTTCCTGAGAAAGGGAGTGTGGGAAGCTTTTTTGAGATGTTGAATTATTCTCCTATGTGATTGACATTTAGCCTAAGTGTAGATTTCTAGTTCATTTTTTAAAAATTTATTTTTTATTCACATTTTTTTAGAGACAGGGTCTTGTTTTGTCACCCAGGCTGGACTGCAGTAGCACAATCGTAGTTCACTGTAACCTCATACACATGGCTCAAATGATCCTTCTGCCTCAGCCTTCCAAATAGCTGGACTATAGCTGCACACCACCGTGCCTAATTTTTTTAGTTTTTGTAGAGATGAGGTCTTGCTGTGTTGCCCAGGCTAGTCTTGAACTCCTGGGCTCAAGTAATCCTCCTGCTTCAGCCTCCCAAAGTTCTGGGATTGCAGGTGTCAGCCACTGTGCCCAGCCCTCTTCTTAATTTTTCTAAGAGCTATTTGTTATCTGAATATTTTGAAATGCCTCTTGTTCTTATTTCATGTATAAAATATTTTATTCTTTTAGGATATTAGTAGTTCAAGATTTTTTTTTTCTCCTTATTTCTGCATTTTCTGTGTGTGTGTGTGTGTGTGTGTGTGTGTGTGTGTGTATGTTTGGAGTTCCTTTGTTTCTGTTTGTATATTTTAATCTTTTTCAAAGTAAAAGCTTTCTTTAAGTGTCTGATGATCCTTGTTTGTACACTCATATCTAAGAGGGGGAAGTTCTCTGGTGGATTCCTGGATTTCACTGTAAGATCAAGTACCTTCCATATTGGCATATCCCTTAGTAATTATGATGTGCAGTCATTTTAGTAACCACTTTTATCATCTATTAATGTTTAATCTCAAAGTGGCCTCTCACTTGGAGACTTTATGATGATAAATGCAGAATAATGACATATTTATGGAACCAGATACGGAATATTTTGGTCTTATTTCATTTACAGGTATTACATCATTTCTAATTTACATACGAGGAAACAGTTTAGAGAGCCTCAGTGATTTACACAGAGTTACATAGCAAGTATGTTATAACTACGGTTTTAATTTTATATGCCATGATTATTCCATTACAACTGTGAACGTTTTTGAGACCACTTTGTGTTCACTGTTTTATCTCTGTTTTTTTTAGAGATATTATAATAGGTTAGATGTCTTTAGCTTACATTTTTTCAAAGTTCATTCATACCTATTTTTAAATTATTTATTGAATATAACTTTCCAGGGATAGAAAGGACTGGATGGCTACAGCTTTTAAGTATATAACAACTGTTCTGAACATGTGATTATTTTCTCATCAGGTTATGGGTAATGACGGTTAATGCACTTCAGCCTTCAATAAAGTTTGTACGACAACAAAAATATACTCAGAATGATCTGATGATAGATCCTCTCATTGTCCTAAGGTGTGACCAGAGAGTCCACAGGTACATGCCATTTGAGTTTCATTTTTATTATAGAGCTGTACTTTGAAGAGTCAAAATAAATTGATGAAATTCAGTTTAAACTTATATCTTAGTATTCTTGCAGATAACTAGGCAGTATGACCTGTCCTTTTTTTTGTCTTATTTTTTTACTCATGTTTATTCGTGAAATTTATATTCATTTTAATATTTAATATGTAATTAATAGAGAAATGTCGTTCTTGGTTTTGGTACCATCAATAGTGGTTTTTCTCTTTCTCACAATTTAGACTAGTAAAGAGTAACACTATTTCTGCTCTCACATTAAAAAGGTTTTTAAAAAACTGGTACCTTGTGAATCATTAACTGCATTAATACTGTGACCTTTTTGGCATACCCAATAGTGATGTTAGCTTTATTGATTCCACATTTGGTTCTGAATCCTTACCAGTTGCTAAACTTAAGCATTGCTTTGAAGTGGCTTCATTTCAAAAGGTGGAATTTAGTTTATTTCTATTATTAATCTTTGAGTTACACTTGTTATGATAAATACTATCAAATATGTAAATTGAGGGACTTGCCTTTAAAGTGATTATCATCTACATGGGGACATAAGACAGGTAAGTGGTAAGTTAAATAATATGGTCATGTGGATGAATGGTGTAGTAAATAAATGTTCTTAAAAGTTCAGGAAAGATGCAGAGGAGAGAGAGCGTGTGTAGTGTTTTAAAGAATGGAGTTAGGGCTGGTTGGAGTGTAGTGGTATTTACAACTGATTGATCACAACCAGTCACAGATTTCTTTGTTCCTTCTCCACTCCCACTGCTTTATTTAACGTTAAAAAAAGAAGAGTGGACATAGGGTTTAGGTGAGTATTCGTTCATCTAATAGTGTAAAGATGGGGATTAGGGAGTCAAGGATGGTACTTTGAGAAAAAGAACAGTATGAGTATTACAGGTGTGCCACCTTGCCTAGTTTATATTCTTATATTAATTGGCTACATGGTACTCCATTTTATAGATACACTATGCTTAACCCAATCCCCTAGGATATTTTGTTTCTAATTTTTTGCTATTATCAATAGTGCTGTGGTGATCATGTTCATTTCCCCATGCTGAGTATTTCATTAGAACCGAAAAATGGAATTACTGGGGCAAAAGTATCGTGTTCATTTTCAAGACTTTTAATTCATGTTTTCATTCTACTGTGTAGAAAGGCTGAACTGGTTTACATTCCATAGCAGTGTTTGATATTATATACTTTACTGCACTATTTTATATAATGTTTTCCAGTTTGATAGGTAAAAATAGATTCCCATTTTAATTTATATTCTTGTTAGATTGGATATTTAACTATATTTATTGGCCATTTAATTTCTTCTTTATATTTTAGCGTATATTTTTTATTGACTTAAAGAGCTCTTTATAAACAATATCAGCTCTTTGTACACATATTACAGTTTTTTTCTTCATGCACTATTGTTTTGCTTGCATTCCGTCGTCTTTTCTTTAGAGTTTACATTATACATATTTGACTTTAGCTAATAAGATGAAACAAATGATACTATTTATATAATTTTGAAATATAAAGAATAAGAAGTACATATTAAACTTTTGAGAATGAATATTTCAGTGAGAAAAGCTACTATATGCTACTCAGGTTTTTCTCAGCAATTTAACTAGATTGATCATGTTCTGGCTAATTTATAATTTAAATTCTTTCTGATATATTTATCTTTTCTGCTTTTCTTGTTTAGATGTCCCCCACTGATGGATATTACTCTACACATGTTGAATGGATATCTTCTTGCATCGAAAGCCTACCTTAGTGCTCATCTGAAGGAAACAGCAGAGCAAGACAGGCCTTCCCAGAATAATACAATCGGTTTAGTTGGACAAACTGATGCTCCGGAAGTTACCAGAGAAGAATTGAAAAATGCATTACTGGCTGCTCAGGTAAATTTTGCTAAAGTAAAATTTAGTCAAAAAGAGCAAGGCCTCTAATGTAATCAGTAGAATAGATGGCATATTATGCCCTCTGTGTCCTTTGTGACATATTGTGCATTTCTTTTATTATAGAATCAATTACGATATTACCTTTGGTTCTGAATATCACATATATTGTATTTCGGAAATCAGGAATAATCTTCATGATATGAATGAAACAGCTGTTTAAATAAGATTTATACTTTAATAAAATTTAAGTATTTACCTATTCTGAGTTTAGAGTTATATGTTCATTCAGTCAACAAATTTTTTTTTTTGGAGACAAGTCTCACTGTCACCCAGGCTGCAGTGCAGTGGTGTGATCTTGACTCACTGCTGCAACCTCCACCTCCCAGGTTTAAGTGATTCTTCTGCCTCAGCCTCCTGAGTAGCTGGGACTATAGGTGCATGCTGCCACGCGTGGGTAATTTTTGTATTTTTAGTAGAGATGGAGTTTTGCCATGTTGGCCAGGCTGGTCTCAAACTTCTGATCTTAGGTGATCTGCCTACCTCAGCCTTATGACGTGCTGGGATTACAGGCATGAGCCACTGTGCCCGGCCAAAAAACTTTTCTAAATATAAAGTTGAAGTGCTTATATCGTCATGGTATTTATGACTGCCTGACATTTTACTATACCTGCATTTATGTTTCTGTTTATTGTCTGTCTCCATAATTTGACATTTTTTTCCTTCCACTTGATCTTAAGAAACAAATAACCAAGGATTTTGTCTTCTTCGCCACTATATCCTCAGTTCCTGCAGCAATACTTGGCACACAATAGTAGGTAGTTCAATAAATATTTGTTGAATGAGGCCAAGCACCCGTGGCTCATGACTGTAGTCCCAGCACTTCATAAGGCTGAGGTGGGCAGCTCACCTAAGATCAGGAGTTTAAGACTAGCCTGGCCAACATGGTGAAACCCTGTCTCTACTAAAAATACAAAAATTAGCTGGATGTGATGGCACACACCTGTAGTCTCAGCTACTTGGGAGGATGAGGCAGGAGAATGGCTTGAACTAGGGAGGTGGAGGTTGCAGTGAGCTGAGATTGTGCCACTGCACTCCAGCCTGGGTGAAAGAGTGAGACTCTCTGTCAACATCAACAAAAATAAAATAAATCTGTTCCTAGGAGATTCAGATAAGGGATTGAAGATCATAAAAGCTCACATCTATATAATGCTTACCATATGGTAGGTACTAGCCTAAGTTCCTTAAATATATTAACTCATTTAATTTTTATAACCTACCTATGAGGTATAGAGTATTATCTCAATTTTTTACAGATTAGGAAAATGTGACCCAGAGAAGTTAAGTGACTTGCTCACCGTTACATATTTAGTAAATGGCAGAACCAGGATTCACTCCTAGGCACTTTGGCTCCTGAGTCAACAACAACAAACAATAACAATAACGATAACCAAATACCAAAACCCCCTTTCCCCAAGCACCATGATTAGAAACCATGAGAGTCTACCTTTTTCTCCTGCTCTGTTACCAGGCTGGAGTGCAGTAGCACAATATCGGCTCACTGCAACTTCTGCCTCCCAGGTATAAGCGGTTCTCCTGCCTCAGCATCCTGAGTAGCTGGGATTACGGGCACATGCTCACGTCCAGCTAATTTTTTTTTTTTTTTTTGAGACGGAGTTTCGCTCTTGTTACTCAGGCTGGAGTGCAATGGCGCGATCTCGGCTCACTGCAACCTCCGCCTCCTGGGTTCAGGCAATTCTCCTGCCTCAGCCTCCTGAGTAGCTGGGATTACAGGCACGTGCCACCATGCCCACTAATTTTTTGTATTTTAGTAGAGACGGGGTTTCACCATGTTGACCTGGATGGTCTTGATCTCTTGACCTCGTGATCCACCCGCCTCGGCCTCCCAAAGTGCTGGGATTAATTTTTGTATTTTTAGTAGAGACAGGGTTTCATCCTGTTGGCCAGGATAGTCTGGATCTCTTGACCTTGTGATCTGCCCACCTCGGCCTCCCAAAGTGCTGGGATTACAGGTGTAAGCCACTGTGCCTGGCTGTATTATTTATTTTTTTTTTTGAGACAGAGTGTTGCTCTGTCACCAGGCTGGAGTGCAGTGGCCTGTCTCGGCTCACTGCAACCTCTGCCTCCTGGGTTCAAGTGATTCTCCTGCCTCAGCCTCCTGAGTAGCTGGGACTACAGGTGTGTGCCACCACGCCTAGCTAATTTGTGTATTTTTAGTAGAGGCAGAGTTTCAGTGTGGCCAGGATGGCCTCGATCTCTTGACTGCATGATCCACCTGCCTTAGCCTTCCAAAGTGTTGGGATTACAGGTGTGAGCCACTGCACTCGGCCAGCTCTCCTTTTTATATAGAGTCCTCAAGTGTGTTGCCGTTACCCCTTAAAGTACTGTTCTATACAATGATGCTCAAGCCTGTGGACTGAGCAATGAGTTGTGCAGGTTGAATGGATGGTAAGGTAGACTCCTTCCTTGTAAAACCAAAGCCTTAAACAGTCTGTATTCAAGTTAAAGAGCTGTGGGAAGTCACTTTTAGGCGTTATTAACAATAACCTCGGAGCAATCAAGTAGTTGGTAGCCAAGTTGAAAAAAAGGGAAATCAGGATAGCATCCTGGGAAAAGTGGGAGATTAAGAGGAAGGAAAGGATGTTCTGGTAGAAGTCATTTTTGCCTAGGGCCTGTTTTGGATATAACTGAATTGATAACACTCTTCTAGTAGATCTTTCTTTCTTTTTTTTTTTTTTATTGCATTTTAGGTTTTGGTCTAGTAGATATTCTTAAACTGGAGTCCATGGATGTGTCTAGAGATGTGTGACATCATTATGTAATGCTGTTTGGTTATGTATGTTAATTTTTATGGGGAGAGGTTATATTTTCTTTAGATTTCTGTGGGGTTCATAATCCTAAAAAGGTGAGAATCACTGCTCTATGGATTGCTCACTTTTGCTCTTATAAGTACCTCTGTGTGTGTGTGTTTAAGAAATTAGTTATTTTTTCATTTCTGTTCATGTGAAAATAAAATCTGATTTGGTTTTTAAACCAACTTCTCAGAAACTTCTTACATTTACTATGCTTTGTTTGCTTTTAGGATAGTGCAGCTGTTCAGATTCTCTTAGAGATTTGCTTACCTACTGAAGAAGAGAAAGCAAATGGTGTCAATCCAGATAGCTTGTTAAGAAATGTTCAGAGTGTTATTACCACCAGCACTCCAAATAAGGGAATAGAGGAAGGAGAAGACAATTTGCTCTGTAACCTTCGAGAAGTTCAGTGCCTTATCTGTTGTCTCTTGCATCAAATGTACATTGCAGATCCCAACATTGCCAAGCTTGTTCACTTTCAGGTGTGTTTCCAAAGAATGATGCTTTGTGTTTTAACTTTGTTTTTCTTGAGGGCTTTGAATACTATATTAGCAGGGATCATTTAGAAACCAAAGAAAACACAAATGATCCATGGGCCTTTGCAATATGGAGAAAAATCCAGGTTTTTAGTTGTTTTTTTTTTAACCTAATGAAATGTTTGATAATTTAATCTCTATTCTAGTGAATCAGAAAAGTGAAATGCCAGGTTACATATAGGGCACTGTAGCCTTCTGAGCAACTTTTACAGAAAGGAAATGAAATCTTTCATTTGTATTTTTATCTGTACTTGACTTTTATAGTTATTTTATTTCTGACTTTTTTCCTCTTTCTTGTTGAGGTAGGGTTATCCATGCGAACTTTTGCCTCTGACGGTCGCAGGTATTCCATCTATGCACATCTGTCTAGATTTCATACCCGAGCTTATTGCACAGCCAGAACTTGAAAAACAGGTAATGAGCATTTTGGAGCTTTGGGACAATTGCTGTCTCTCTCTCCAGTCTTACTAGTTATACAAAACATTTTATAGTTTTTAATACCTAAAGATAGTCTTGAGAAACATGTAATATCTGGATTTTGTATTGCAGATATTTGCTATCCAGTTGCTTTCTCACTTGTGTATCCAATATGCATTACCAAAGTCACTTAGTGTGGCTCGTTTAGCTGTCAATGTCATGGGAACTTTGCTAACAGGTATGTAGCCAATCAGCATCAACAAACACCTGGCATAAATTGTTAATAGTACCCGTATTTTCTGAATTTAGTGATGTAATATGTTTTTTGTGTCACTCAGAGACAATGTGATACAATATGTGTTAATACTAATTTAATTTATGCTATCTTTTGAATTCTTCTTTTGAAAATTTTTCTGTTTACAAATGTGATTTATAGTGTAGTGGGAATGAATAGGTGGGCAAATTGTGTTTTTCATTTTGTGAATGAGTATATATAGATTTGTAAATAAAAGCTTTCTAGATATTATAAATGGAAAAAAATATACTTTCTGAATATAATTATGTCAGTAGAAAACAAGATCATTTATTACAAATGCTCAGTTCCAGAAAAATATCAGCATATGTATAAATGAATGATAAATATATTAGATGTGTCCATAAGTTCTAAAACATATTCTGACATTTTAACTACCTTCTGGTTTGTAGAATAAAATGGTCTTAAACTACCATAAAATATATGAATTATAATTCAACCCTTAATGTTATGACTTAGTTGATTTAGTATTCTTTCTCACTATAATATTTCCATGATACCCTGTCGTTTTTCTTTTCATTGTATTTACGTCCTGTTACAATTATTTGTAGTGGTTAAGAGTTTACACTGCCTGAGTTCAGTCTCAGCTCCACCACTTACTAGCTTGTGATCTTTGACAAGTTTCTTAACCTCTCTAAGGCTTTTTAAAGAATTTTCTCATCTGTAAAATGAGTGTCATAATAGTACTTTGGTCACTCATGAAATTGTAGGAATTCAATGAAATAATACATGTCATGTACTTATCGCAAAACTTGGGCATAATTTGTATCTTGGATAAAGACAGAGGCTACTAGGTTGCGAGCTTTCGGAAGACAGGGGCTGCTGTGTTTAGAGAACTTCATATTTCCAGTACAGAGCATAGAACCCATTGGTATGTTATATAAGCTATGTTGATTTTATATTTGTAAACTAAAATATTGTTTCATTTCTTTCCAACAGTTTTAACCCAGGCTAAGCGGTATGCTTTTTTTATGCCAACTCTGCCAAGTTTGGTGTCTTTTTGTCGAGCATTTCCTCCATTGTATGAGGATATTATGTCTTTGCTGATCCAAATAGGGCAAGTTTGTGCCTCTGATGTTGCCACTCAGACAAGAGACATTGATCCAATAATTACACGTAAGTGGTAACTTATATTCAAGGATTATCTTAATATCTCAAACAAAAAGGCCAAATTGCTTTCCAGATTTCTTGGCCTTAATTTTTTTTTTTTCTTATGTTGTAGGTCTTCAACAAATAAAGGAGAAACCAAGTGGATGGTCTCAAATCTGTAAAGATTCATCTTATAAAAATGGATCCAGGGACACTGGAAGCATGGATCCTGATGTACAGCTCTGTCACTGTATTGAAAGAACAGTAATCGAAATAATAAATATGAGTGTTAGTGGAATTTAAAAAAAAATTTAAAACCCAAATATGAAACTGTTTGCTGCATACACCCAACATGAATCTGCATATTATAACTCTAAACTGAATGGGAACAGTAATGTCTTGCAATCACTAAAACACTTCAACATGAATATAATTTAGAACTTTATGAGAATTATGCTTGCTTGTGTTTGATTGGCACGTCTTTGGATCTACTTTGCTGGTATGTTTATATTGTAGTAGCTGAGCTTTTTTTCCCGCTGGGAGCACATGTAAGAAACTCATTACTGGAAAGGGAATTTGGCTTTGTATTTAGCTTTTGAAGTGAAGAAAGACTGCCATGCCTTTAATTTAATTTCTTATAAAAATGAGTCTGTGGGTAGCCCTACTGTTTATTTTAATTCTGAGCTTGTAACAGAGCATGACAAAGATGCAAAGATGGGAGAGGACAAAGTGTAAAGAGAAAGGAGAATTAAGGAAATATTAGGAGTTAAAAACCCAAGTAGAAATCTCAAAAGATTTGCAATGCAAGTGATAGTAATGCAAGTTGGAATTCTTGTTCTCAAGAAAGAGTATTGAGAAAGCTTTTAAAAAGGCACATAGCTTTCGTAAATGATTTCTGTGGAATTACAGATGAGGATTTAAAGATTTCACATATTTGCTTCAATTTTTATTAATATATGAAGCCATATGTTTGAAGAGGTACTTGAATAATTTGGAATTTTAAGATACTGGTATAAAAGTGTTTACAGAAACATCTTTGTTCAAAGAAGAACATGAGAGATCTCATTTAGTTTTTTGTTTTACATTTATTTTTATAATGCTTTATTAACTTACCTAATGCCCAGAGGGGGGAAATATGTATCAAATTACATGAAGGTAGAGCAATAAAACCCACTGGATTAAAGAGCACTTGGCTTGTCATTAGGATTATAATTCATACATTACTTTGAGAAGATCTGTGAGTAAGAAGTTGCAGTGTTTGAACCTCAGGAAAAATTAAAATGTAGAAAATATTGTCTTGCTGAATGATTTTGCAGTCCTCTGTCAGTAACTTCCATTGATTAGGCCGACACATTCAGGTAAACTGTAATCCTCATTTGAAAAAAAAAAAAAATTAAGTATCCAATGTAGAAAGTACTTTCCTTTTTTCTCTCTGAGATATACCTCAATCACACACTTCCTTACCCCCACTTGAAACTGACCTCTTCACTTGTGGGTTTTTTTTTTTTTTCTTTTTGAGGTGGAGTCTCACCTTGTTGTCCAGGCTGGAGTGCAGTGGGGTGATCTTGTCTCACTGCAACCTCTGCCTCCTGGGTTCAAGGAATTCTCAGGCCTCATCCTCCTGAGTAGCTGGGACTGCAGGCATGCACCACCACACCCAGCTAATTTTTGTATTTTTAGTAGAGATGAGGGTTTGCCGTGTTGCCCAGGCTGGTCTTGAACTCCTGGCCTCAGGTGATATGCTCACCTTGGCCTCCCAAAGTGCTGGGATTACAGGTGTGAGCCACCCAGCTAGACCTCTTCACTTGTAAAAATTAGTGAGGGTACTAAGAAGGTGTAGTTTTTAAGAAATGAAATTTAACTTCAGCCTTTTCATTAGTAAATAGTCACATCTCATTTTCTTCCTTTGTAAAATGGCCCTACCTCATGTTCTATGAGAATGAGTTTGTAGCTGTTTCAAATCATGAAGTGCATAGTATCACGTGATGGAATATTTATAACTTTTTATTAGATGCTTAATGTTCAATTAAGTAATTTTGATGTGAAAAATAAAAGCATATGCTTAAAAATAGCATAAGAATTTTCATATTTTTAGACAAGGCAGTTTTGTAGTCTCAAGATTAAATACAACTGCTCCTTTTTTTTTTTTTTTTTTTTTTTTAAACTGAGGCCTTGCGATATTTTATGTGAATAGATATGCCCTAGGAGTTCAGAAAAAGTTAAAGTATGTTTTCTAACTAAATGCAGTATACATTCCTGGATCAATTTTCAAAGACTGGTCATAACCTGCTGTGTTAAAATAATCACATTTGCTGTTTTTCATCAGATTTGTTGATGATGTAAATAAAGTGTGTAAATATATTAGTAAATGTTAATATTCATGTATTTTAAGTTAAAGGTATAAAATTTGTCACAATGGGATTTTTTTATTCAAGTGAAAACAGATGTGTGCAGCTATTTTGAATATTGATTTATAAACATACATATTCTTTATCAAACCAACCTGTAGTTTTTTTGTGTTTCATTCCAGTAGAGTTAACCTGAAGGGAACAGTTCAAGGGACTGTATTCTAGGCCTGTATGGTTCCAAGGGCCGACGTGTATCCCTTTCTTTTATGCCACATACATTAAATGGCAATACAAGTTGAGAGCGAATTGAAACCCTTAGTAATTTATGAGAGTAGTTATCCTGGAGCAGTGACTCAAAAGATTTGGTGTTTTAAGAAATTATAAAAGAGAAATAATTTGAAGGTATTTTTAGGGATTTACTTTTAAACATTATCCTTGCTTTGCTTTTTTTCACTTAACCTTATATGGGATTTTTTTCTTGCAAGTTTATTTTATTTTTTTTTGAGATGGAGTTTCGCTCTTGTTGCCCAGGCTGGAGTGCAATGTCGTGATCTCGGCTCACCACAATCTCCGCCTCCCGGGTTCAAGTGATTCTCCTGCCTCAGCCTCTGGAGTAGCTGGAATTACAGGCATGTGCCACCACGCACGGCTGATTTTGCTTTTTCGGTAGAGACCTGGTTTCTCCATGTTGGTCAGGCTGGTCTTGAATTCCCAACCTCAGGTGATCTGCTTGCCTTAGTCTCCCAAAGTGCTGGAATTACAGGCATGAGCCACAGCGCCTGGTGCAAGTTTAATTTTTACAATTTTATTGGTTTCATAATGTATTGAATTCATCTATCATAACCACCTTTATATTACTAGACTGGGAAGTTCATAATTTTTTTCAGTATTACAAATAGGTATTGTCAATTGAGGTATCACATTTTCTTTCGTTTAGATTATGTCTTTAGGATAAATATATGGAGCTCAGATTACTAGGTCAAAGGGTAGAGTTTATAATTACAAGTTTTGTCATTTCTGGTAAGATATCACAGTTGACAGTGAGGCAAACAAATCAACTAGCTCCCTCCTGCTTTTTCTTCCCAGCAAACTCTTTCTGGAAACTAGTTAACTTGAATTTGAGAAGCAATATTAGGTTTTGGCTTTGGGAGATATTATTATTTGAGCCAAGTTTAGGTTATACAGAATTTAAAAAAAAAATACAAAACATAATTTAGACCGGGCGCGGTGGCTCACACCTGTAATCCCAGCACTTTGGGAGGCCGAGGCAGGTGGATCAACTGAGGTCGGGAGTTCGAGACCAGCCTGACCAACATGGAGAAACCCGTCTCTAATAAAAGTACAAAATGAGCTGGGCGTGTTGGCGCGAGCCTGTAATCCCAGCTACTCGTGAGGCCGAGGCAGGAGAGTCGTTTGAACTCGGGAGGTGGAGGTTGCGAGGCTCTTGTTGCCCAGGCTGGAATGCAATGGCTCTGCGATCGCGCCATTGCACTCCAGCCTGGGCAACAAGAGCAAAAATGCATCTCAAAACAAACAACATAATTAGGCAAGATCATGATGAATCTCCTTTTCTTTGAGTAAATTAAAGTACTATTGGCAAATAATAAATGGTCTTAGGTGGGATGGAAGGCGGATAAAAGCCTTTTTTTTTTTTTTTTTTTTGAGGAGGAGTTTCGCTCATTACCCAGGCTGGAGTGCAATGGCGCGATCTCGGCTCACCGCAACCTCCGCCTCCTGCATTCAGGCAATTCTCCTGCCTCAGCCTCCTGAGTAGCTGGGATTACAGGCACGTGCCACCATGCCCAGCTAATTTTTTTGTATTTTTAGTAGAGACGGGGTTTCACCATGTTGACCAGGATGGTCTCGATCTCTTGACCTCGTGATCCACCCGCCTCGGCCTCCCAAAGTGCTGGGATTACAGGCTTGAGCCACCGCGCCCGGCCGGATAAAAGCCTTAATGGAGGTAGAAGTGATCTGGTGCTGGAGAACCTGACAGCGTCTCTCTCTGGCTTTAGTATCCGGGAAAGCACTCAGTATTATGAAAGATAAGATCGTAGCCCGTTGTCACAGAGCCATCTTACTGAAGTTCGGCTCAGCAGCCTGGCAATTCTCGCCACATTCTTTTCACTACCCTGGCTACTGCAAAGCTGGGAAATGCAAACTGAGTGGCACTGATGAGTGCTCAAAGAGCTTAGCAAAGCTTAAAGATGTTTCCTTTCCGCTAGTCTACGGTGTGAAGAAGGAGGCTTACAGTTTCCAAGCAATTTGCTGTACAGGCTCTCTCGCCGGTTTCAAAAGTCCAACCGGGAAGACATTTTCCTTTAAACAAACTCAAGGGATTTGCTCCCGTGGCGATAGCCTTCCTGTGCCGCCGCACACCGTTTGAGTCTGTGTGTGTGTGTGGTTTTTTTTTTTTTTTTTCCCGGGAGACTTTGATTGGGTGCCGGAGTTCTCGCCCCCTCACCTCGCACCAGGATTGGTTGATTCCTGGCGTTGACGGGTGATTGGTCGAGCTCGTAGGGCGATTGGGCGTTGGGAGTCGAGGGGGCGGGAGGCGGGAATTCGTCTCGGGCTGCGCGGCTGAGGGGTCAGGTGGGCACAGCTGCGGACGAGGGGTGCGGCAGCCGCAAGCGGGCACACCAGGCCGGGGGAGCGGCAGCCCCGCCAGGAAGCGGGAGGAAGGAGGGCTCGTGCCCTTTCTTCTCTTCCGGTGCTCCGCTTTATTTGCTCTCCGAAATCGGTTTCCTTTCCTTCCGTGAATCGGAGCTCAAGAGCGTTGCTTCAGTTTCCCTCCAGACAGGCAAGTCGGAGGGAAGCCCACGGGGAGGGCTTGGGTACTTCTGCCCCCGCGCCAGCCGCCCGCGGGCCCGTGGGCATGGCCGGCTCGCCCGGGGCTCGGGGGTCTCGGCGGGCTGTGGGAGGAGGCAGCCCATCCTTGCCTGCCCCGAGCACAGGCCTGTTCCTGGCCCCGGGGCGCCGCGTTCCTCCTTGGCAGGAGGCAGAGGGGTTGCTTTGTCCTTTTTGCAGTATCTGGGGGGAAGCTACCTGATTTTGAGACGATTGTTGCCACAGCCGAGTACCGGACGCGTTGATTTCTAAATTATATCTGGGTGACTAAGCTTTGCATTGTCGATTCATTGTTAAGAGGTCCAGTTCCGCCACATCTCATTCTCAGAGCTTTGCAGGTAGAATCTCAAAATGTTAGAGCTGGAAAATACCCCAGAATCGCGGTTTCTTCACTTCTTTGGGAACACACAAGCGGTGGTTAGTGTTAGTGCCTTCCTAATCGATTGAATTGATATTTTAACCATCTCTTCATCCCCAGATTGAATTTACAATGTTTCCCCCACGACGGCTGCAAATAATTCCTTATTTGATAACAATGCATGTAATTTCCCCCCGCTATTTTGATTTCCTTGAGATCTATTTAGGGGAAGCGAAGTCTACGGAGTTTCTCTTTGGAAAAATGCAATTATGCAGAGAAACCTCTGCATGCAGTTTCAAGAGGTCATTGTCTGAATTACATCTGTGGATCCTAGGTTAAAAAAAAAAGTGGTTTAGAAGAGCTGAGGATTAAAGTGATCACCTCATCTGTGTGAGATCCTGGGCTTATTTTCATAAAAACCCTGTCAGGTAATTAGTATTTCAGTTCCATAGATGGAGAAACAAGCTCTGAGAAGTTATGTGATTCACACAGTGGAATTCAAACTTAGGCTTGCTTTACTCCAAAGCCTACCCTCTTTCTGTAATACTCTACTGACCTTTAAATAAAATTTTTGAGTGCCTACTATGTGCCAAGGCATCCCCTCTGTCTCTCTCTGTTTGTTTGTTTGTTTTGTTTTGAGGCGGAGTCTCGCTCTGTCAGGCTGGAGTGCAATGTGCGATCTCGGCTCATTGCAACCTCCACCTCCCGGGTTCAAGTTCATTGCAACCTCTGCCTTCTGGGTTTAAGTGATTCTCCTGCCTCCCCAGTAGCTGGGATTGGAGGTGCGCGCCACCATGTCCAGCTAATTTTTGTGTTTTTAGTAGAGACGGGATTTCACCATGTTGGTCAGGCTGGTCTCGAACTCCTGACCTCGTGATCTGCTTGCCTCAGCTTCCCAAAGTGCTGGGATTACCGATGTGAGCCACCACGCCCGGCGGGCACTCTCTCTCTCTCTCTCCTTTTTTTTTTTTTTAACAGCCTTTATTTATTTATTTATTTATTTATTTATTTATTTATTTTTTGAGACGGAGTTTCGCTCTTGTTACCCAGGCTGGAGTGCAATGGGGCGATCTCGGCTCACCGCAACCTCCGCCTCCTGGATTCAGGCAATTCTCCTGCCTCAGCCTCCTGAGTAGCTGGGATTACAGGCACACGCCACCATGCCCAGCTAATTTTTTTAGTATTTTTAGTAGAGACGGGGTTTCACCGTGTTGACCAGGATGGTCTCGATCTCTCGACCTCGTGATCCACCCACCTCGGCCTCCCAAAGTGCTGGGATTACAAGCTTGAGCCACCGCGCCTGGCCAACAACAGCCTTAAATTAAATTAGGGGTCATCACATAGAAGGATGTTAGACCCAGTGAAGTAAAAAAGTACATCAAAGACCCTGTCAAAATCTGGTATAGAACCTATGCTTCCTAACTTCTGGTCCACAGCTTTTTTCTTCTAACTGGGGGACTGCAGAAACGGTAACACAAGGGGAAGAGTGGTGGTATGGAGTTTCAGAGAGAGAGGCCTCAGGATCTTGTTTCTGTAGGTTGATTACAACTGATGTAATTGTCACAAGAGCTCATATTTAATCTGGTATGTACTGTATCATATTTGCACATTATTTCACTTAATCATTACCACAATCCTATGGGGTACATGCAGTCACTATGGTTTAGAGAAGGAAACTAACTTTCCCAAAGTCACACAACTAATACACGGCAGAGCAAGGGATGCAAATCCAGATTTGTTAGACTCTAAGACATGCTCTTGACCGCTGTGATTTATAATACTAGCAAATTCTTTTGTTTCCGTTTGTTTTGTTTATTAATTCCAGTTTGTATTTTCAGGCTTCTCTCTTAGTTTTGGTTTTCTGGTTTTCTTTGAAAGATGTGTCTCAGTATTTGATTTTCATTTCTGTTGCAGTTAGGAATCTGAAATAAACAGGAGAGTACTATGTCTGCAATGTGGTCTGAATATACAATTAGCGGGGTGAAGATTAACTTTCCTTATAAAGCTTACCCATCACAGCTTGCTATGATGAATTCTGTAAGTATTTTTCAGCAGTTAAGTTTTTAAGATATAGATACTTATGATCCATAAAGTACATTGAGTATGTGACTGCATTCATATTTTCAAATAGTAAATGGAGAGTATTTTCTGGGTTCATTTGGAAGAACATCTAACCTCTGGGAAACTAACGATTGCTAGTAAATGTATATATCCGTGGTTAAGACAAAGAAGAAAATTCTGAAAAATGTTCTCAGCTCATTTGGAATTTCTATACTTTTTTTTTTTTGAGACAGAGTTTCGCTCTTGTTACCCAGGCTGGAGTGCAATGGCGCGATCTCGGCTCACCGCAACCTCCACCTCCTGGGTTCAGGCAGTTCTCCTGCCTCAGCCTCCTGAGTAGCTGGGATTACAGGCATGTGCCACCATGCCCAGCTAATTTTTTTGTGTTTTTAGTAGAGAAGGGGTTTCACCATGTTGGCCTGGATGGTCTCGATCTCCTGACCTTGTGATCCACCCACCTCGGTCTCCCAAAGTGCTGGGATTATAGGCGTGAGCCACCGCGCCCGGCCAAGAATTTCTATACTTTCAATGAAAAACTGCTTTCTACAGAGTATTTACTATCTTTTATACAGGATAGTGTATTTCTCACCATTAATTGTTTTGTTTGAATCATGTAGAAAATTAACATACAAATTTGAGTAAACCAACTTTCCAGTTTTGTTAAATCTATTTTGCCATATATACTTCATTTTTACTTACTGGTAACAAGATTATTAGTATCCTGAATTTGTTCTTTTCCTTTCCTAGCCATGTTTTTATACTTTTATTACATATGTATATATCCATAAATTATAGAAAATATTACTTTACGTATTTTTAAACTTTGTGCATTGATGTGATACTGTACCTCATCTTTCTACAGAACTTTAGTGTTTAAACTTGGCATTATTTTTAGTATATAGCCCGGTTGATTCTTAATTCATTTTAACTGCTGTAGATATTCTATTGGATTATTGGATGAATATACTAGAATTTGAGAATTTGTCCATTTTCTTATTGATGGACATTTAGGTTGTTTACATTCTTTGCAATTACAAACAGTGCTGCTGTGAACTAACTTTCTTTTTTTTTTTTTTGAGACAGGGTCTTAGTCTGTCTTCCAGATTAGAGTGCAGTGGCACAATCTCCACTTATTGCAACCCCCACCTCCCAGGCTTAAGTGATTCTGCCTCAGCCTCCAAAGTAGCTGGGATTACAGGCATGCACCACCATGCCCAACTAATTTTTGTATTTTTAGTAGAGACGGGATTTCACCCTGTTGGCCAGGCTGGTCTCGAACTCCTGACCTCAAATGATCCACCTGCCTTGGCCTCCCAAAGTGCTGGGATTGCAAGTGTGAGCCACCCTGCCTGGCTGCTGCTATGAGCTTTCTTATGCATGTTTTCTTGTGTTCATGTGGGAAAGGTTTTGGGTGTACACATAGAGCTCGACTTGCTGTAGCTGGACATCGTCACTTTATAAGAAATTGTTTATTTCTCTACCAAGTAGTTATAATAATTTATACTCTCACTAGCAATATCTTTCATTAAGTTTTCATCAGAGATATTGACAGGTAGTAATGTATTCTGGTTTTACAGAAATCATTGGTGCTTGCCTAATTCTGGCATAGATTGCTCTTTTCATTTCTTCTCTTGTGCTTGGTGTTTTGGTAAGTCCAAGATAATCTCAGGGAGAGGTGCAAAGGAATAAAGTTTGGATTTCACGGAATACGAGTTCCTTCTGCTGTTGTTGTGTTCCCTGGAGTGTAACCTCACTTCTCCTTGTTGTTACATTTGTACTTCAGGTGGAGAGAGACCTTTATAAAGTAAAATGTTTGTTAATCTTTCTCATTGGTTTCTGTGTCCACAGATTCTCAGAGGATTAAACAGTAAGCAGCATTGTTTATTGGAGAGTCCCACAGGAAGTGGAAAAAGCTTAGCCTTACTTTGTTCTGCTTTAGCATGGCAACAGTCTCTTAGTGGTAAGTAGTTGCTTGATATCTTCAGGTTGCTTATTGGGGCCTGAAAAAACATAATACGGTACTCTAACTAGACGGGTTCAGCCATGGTCTAGCTAATTTAAATATTCGTTTAAAGATGTTTCTTTAAAAAAGTTATGTATCTGCCAAAAGAGTTTCAATGTAGCAAAATATGTTTCATTAATGCTAAAATAACACTGAACATAATTTAGTCTTTTGATTAGTCAGAAAGTACATAAAGAGTTTTGGCAGCCTGGGCAACATGGTGAGACCTGACCGCTACAAAAAATGAAAATCAATTACCCAAGCATAGTGATGCACATTTGTAGACCCAGCTACTTGGGAAACTGAAGTAGGAAGATTATTTGAGCCTAGGAGGTTTAGGCTGCAGAGAGCTGTGATTATGTACTCTAGCCTGGGTGACAGAGTGAGACCATGTCTCAAAAACAAAGTTTTGGATGCTTAGGGTTATCATTATAGAATAATTAGATGATAATTTGTACATACAAGATGCAAGAGATGGGCTGTCATGATGCTATAACACATTTTTTTTTTTTTTTTTGAGATGGAGTTTTGCTCTTGTTACCCAGGCTGGAGTGCAATGGCGCGATCTTGGCTCACTGCACCCTCCGCCTCCTGGGTTCAGGCAGTTCTCCTGCCTCAGCCTCCTGAGTAGCTGAGATTACAGGCACGCGCCACCATGCCCAGCTAATTTTTTGTATTTTCAGTAGAGACGGGGTTTCGCCATGTTGACCAGGATGGTCTCGATCTCTTGACCTCGTGATCCACCCGTCTTGGCCTCCCAAAGTGCTGGGATTATAGGAGTGAGCCACCACGCCCGGCCCAGCTATAACACATATTAATTGCTTTTTTAATTTTTGGAAATCCTTTGATATATTTGCTTACTTGTTCCTTTCTCATAGCATTAGCGCATGGAATATATAAAAAAGAACACATTCTAGTTGATCTTCCTACTTGTTTGGATGCCAAATAAGCAGAAATTTATTATAATATTGTTTGTATGAATTTATATTACTTCCCATTACTTTTTTCTTTTTTTTTCCCTGAGTGGAGTTGCCCAGGATGGAGTGTAGAGATGTGATCATAGCTTACTGTAACCTCAAACTCCTGGGCTCAGTGATTCTCCTGCTTCAGCCTCTTGAGTAGTTGAGATTACAGGCATGAACCACTATGCCAAGCTATTTTTACTTTGTTTGCTAACAAATGTCTATTATTATTTACTTTTATGAAAGACTATATAATCTATATAATGAATCAGAAATGTAATATTGGATACATTTTAATTACATGATTATATGGGTTTAACCTAAAGTATTAGGAGAATTTGAGGTTAAACATGGTATGTGTATGTATGTATGTATGTATGTATGTGTATATAGGTATATATATATACATTTTTAAAATGAAATGTTTGTTACTAATAAGAACGTGTTAATAATAAAAAGTAAATATTTCATAATCCTTTGGTTGTTCATTTTGATTCTTACTGATGTTAATTTCGGGAAAAGTGAGTTTATTGTTACTAACTTCAGGTCTTAATGGCAGATGCCTGAAAAATAGAATTAGGAATATTTATATGGTAGAAATGGGAAAACAGTATCAATACTGATTATTTTAAAAAAGAAATTATTTAGCTTTTTTTGGAGTATATGAGTAGTACATTTGTATACAGTGTAGGCACATGGTGTAAACTTATTACAATTTTGTATTTAGGCACCAGAATTACCTATTTTGTTGATTTGAATATTGACCTTAAAATGTATTTTGATGCATGTATCAGAATTAATACATCAATAAACATATTTCTATTTGAAATAGAAATATAATGTGGGGAATGCTTTAACCCTTATGTGTTACATTATTATTTAATGTACTGAACTTTCAAATTCTTCATTTAAGTAAAGTAGTAATTAAGAATTTACTTTAGGGCCGGGCGCGGTGGCTCAAGCCTGTAATCCCAGCACTTTGGGAGGCCGAGGCGGGTGGATCACAAGGTCAAGAGATCGAGACCATCCTGGTCAACATGGTGAAACCCCGTCTCTACTAAAAATACAAAAAATGAGCTGGGCATGGTGGCTCGTGCCTGTAATCCCAGCTACTCAGGAGGCTGAGGCAGGAGAATTGCCTGAACCCAGGAGGCGGAGGTTGCGGTGAGCCGAGATCGCGCCATTGCACTCCAGCCTGGGTAACAAGAGCGAAACTCCGTCTCACAAAAAAAAAAAAAAAAAAAAGAATTTACTTTAGGTCCTTATTTCAATCTGTTCTTGAATTTTAAATAAATCTTAATATAAATGAATACTTGAGTGGTTGTACTTTTATTACATTATTAATCTTAGATTATTAGATTTTTGCAGATTACATAAATGGGTGATAATTTCTCTATAAATGTTTTTGCTTTTGTTTTTGAGACAGAGTCTTGCTCTGTTGCCCAGGCTAGAGTGCAGTGGTGTGATCTTGGCTCATGCAACCTCCGCTTCCTGTGTTTGTGCAATTCTCTTGCCTCAGCTTCCTGAGTAGCTGGGATTACAGGTGTATGCCACCATGCCTGGCTAATTTTTGTATTTTTAGTAGAGACAGGGTTTTACTATGTTGGCCAGGCTGGTCTCAAATTCCTAACCTCAAGTGATCTGCCCGCCTCGGCCTCCCAAAGTGCTGGGATTGCAGACGTGAGCCACTGCGTCTGACCAAACATTTTTGGCTTAAGTTTTTCTCTCCTGTCCTAATTTGATGGTGCAGATAAAGTGACCAACTTGTTCAGGTTTGCTAGGTAGCTTCCTGGTATTAGCCCTAAAAATCTTGTATCTTAGGAAGCCTCCCAATTCTGGGGTGAACTGGGCTGGTTACTTACCCTAGCTGCAGAGAATGATTAATGTTTTATTACTTAGATATGTTATAAATAAAGGTTCTTTCATTTTTAGGGAAGCCAGCAGATGAGGGCGTAAGTGAAAAAGCTGAAGTACCATTGTCATGTTGTTGTACATGCCATTCAAAGGATTTTACAAACAATGACATGAACCAAGGAACTTCACGTCATTTCAACAATCCAAGCACGCCACCTTCTGAAAGAAATGAGACTTCATCAGCTTGTCAAGGTAATTTATATTTTGCCTGGATCAGTGATATCTGTAATAAGAGTCTTAATTATTACTGTTCTAAGACCTAATTTATATAAGTTTGGTTAGCACAACTGATTATCTAGTTTCTCTGGAATTCTTTTAAAATAACACAGAGTGGTCAAAAAGTTTTTAAGTCCTTGGTTTGACTTTTAATTGATTGAGACATTTTGATGGCCTCAATAATTTTTTAATGAAGACAAAGCAAAATAAATGATTTTCAGAAATTGATGTTATTTGTGGCCAGTTTTGTTAATTGTATGTTAGAATTCTATCAAACATAATGTTCGTATCCTAAGACAAAATCTAATTAGCCTCACTGATTCATTCTTGATAAGTTTGTCATCTGGCCTTCTGAGGCCAGTATCCTACATGAGAATCAGATTTTTTTTTTTTTTTTGAGACGGAGTTTTGCTCTTGTTACCCAGGCTGGAGTGCAATGGCGCGATCTCGGCTCACCGCAACCTCCGCCTCCTGGGTTCAAGCAATTCTCCTGCCTCAGCCTCCTGAGTAGCTGGGATTACAGGCACGTGCCACCATGCCCAGCTAATTTTTTGTATCTTTAGTAGAGACGGGGTTTCACCATGTTGACCAGGATGGTCTCGATCTCTTGACCTTGTGATCCACCCGCCTCGGCCTCCCAAAGTGCTGGGATTACAGGCTTGAGCCACCATGCTGGGCAGAGAATCAGATATATTTATGTGTGATCCTTAAATAATTCTTACTAATTTTAGAGAAATATATTAAGAGTAATGTAAGAGTATTAATAATATATTTAGAAAAAATAATTCTCCTGCTTTTGGAAGGGATAGACTTATAGAAGGGATAGACTATTATTTACCTAAGACAGAAACCTAGGGAAAATCCTGGACATTGCTCTTAGTTCTTTATGTACATCTCCATATCCATTGGTACCTCCATAGTCCAAACTACCATCTCTTGTTTAGAGCATCCAATAACCCTTTTTCTGTTTTTACTCATGCTATTTCTTAATCAGTCACTGGCAGGGAGACAGAGATTGCCATGATTGACTTAAGTCCAAACAGTGTCCATTTCCTAAGATCAAGGATGGAGTCACTTTCCTCTAAAGCACATAAATATACAGAGGAAGGTAGATGATTGAAATTCCGGTAGGAACGAGGAAAAAGAAGTGGAATAGTTGTTAAATAGGTGACCAATAGTGTTGTCTACCTTGTTTCGATTTTGGCCTTTTGGATTTCTTGTTTTTCCTTCAAAGATTTGTGCTCTCTTCTTCCTCAGAGCCTTTGCTTATATTAGTGTCTCTTCTGAGCAAAGTTCCATCTTCAACTTATTATCCTTTTCTTCCTCAGTTTACATGTCACTTCCTTGGGGTATCCATCCTGATTTCTCTGTCAGAGTAGATTTGATTTCCCTATTATATTTTGTCTTCTCATTGTGTACCTTTCCTTTATAGCACTTTTTTTTTATTTTTTTGAGATGAAGTTTCGGTTTTGTTGCCCAGGCTGGAGAGCAGTGGCATGATCTTGGCTCACTACAGCCTCTACCTGCCAAGTTCAAGTGATTCTCCTGCCTCAGCCTCCCGAGTAGCTGGGATTAAAGGCATGTGCCATCACATCCAACTAATTTGGTATTTTTGGTAGAGATAGGGTTTCTCTGTGTTGGCCAGGCTGGTCTGGAACTCCTGACCTCAGGTGATTTGCACACCTCAGCCTCCCAAAGTGCTGGGATTATAGGTGTGAGCCACCATGCCCGGCCTGCACTTGTTACAGTTTGTATTATATGTGTCCGTCTAAATCTTTTATTAATTTCTCCTTCTGTAGTAGAGTGTATACTTCATGAGGTCAGGAAGGTTGTCAGTTTGCTTACCATTGTATCCCTAGAACTCTAGCAGGGTCCCTGACATATGGTAGGTACTAAATAAATATTTGTTATGAATGAATGGGATTAATTTTCAGCTAATTATAGGAACTCTGGTATATAATATTTATATACACACTTTGCTTTTAACAATAACTTTATTGAGGTTTACTTGACATAACAAATTGCATTATTTAAATGGTACACTTTTTTTTTTTGAGACAGAATCTCTCTCTGTTGCTCAGGCTGGAGTGCAGTGGTGTGATCTTGGCTCACTGCAACCTTCACCTCCTGAGTTCAAGCAATTCTCCTTCCTCAGCCTCCCGAGCAATTGGGATTACAGGCGCCTGCCACCAAGCCTGGCTAATTTTTTGTATTTTTAGTAGAGATAGGGTTTCACTGTGTTGGCCAGGCTGGTCTTGAACTCCTGACCTCAAGTGACCTATCCACCTTGGCCTCCCAAAGTACTGGGATTATAGATGTGAGCCACTGCACCCAGCCTAAATGGTACACTTTGATACATTTTGACATATGTACCTCCATGAAACTTTCACCAGAATCAAGATAGTGAACATATACACCAACCTTATATTCACTTTCTCTAAATTTTTTCAAACATACTCACTTTCCATGGTGTATATGTGCCACATTTTCCCTGTCCAGGAAATGTGGCACATATACACCATGGAATACTATGCAGCCATAAAAAATGATGAGTTCGTGTCCTTTGTAGGGACATGGATGAACCTGGAAACCATCATTCTCAGCAAACTGACACAAGAGCAGAAAATCAAACACCACATGTTCTCACTCATAGGCAGGTGTTGAACATTGAGAACACATGGACACAGGGAGGGGAGCACTACACACTGGGGTCTGTTGGGGGGAAATGGGGTAGGGACAGTGGTGGGTGGGGAGTTGGGGAGAGATAGCATGGGGAGAAATGCCAGATAGAGGTGATGGGGAAGAAGGCAGCAAATCACACTGCCACCTGTGTACCTATGCAACAATCTTGCATGTTCTTCACATGTACCCCAAAACCTAAAATGCAATAAAATAAAATTAAAAAAAAAATCAAAAAAAAAAAAAAGAAAAGAAAAGAAAAAAAAAAATACCGACTTTCCCCAAAAGTTTTCTCATGGACCTTCGTTATTCCCCGCTTCCTAACCCCTCCATGACTCACCTCCTCAACCAACCACTTAACTGCTTTCTGTTACTATAGATTAATTTGCATTTTCTATAGTTTATATAAATGGATTCATAGAGGATGTATACTAATTTTGTCTGGCTTCTTTCACTTACAACAAATATTTTGAGATTCATCCATGTTACATATATTAATAATTTGTTTCTTTTTATTTCTGAGTAATAGTCCATGGATATACCACAAATTGGTTATCTAGCTGTTTATGTATAATTGGGTTATTGCTAGTTCTGGGCTATTACAAAGACATACTATGAACATTTGTGTCTACATCTTTGTATGGATGTATGTTTTAATTTCTCTTAGGTGAATACTAGGAGCAGAAAGACCAGATTGTTTTGTAGGTGTGTATGTTTAACTTTTTTTTGTTTTTGAGATGGAATCAGTCTGTTGTCCAGGCTGGAGTACAGTAGCGTAATCTCAACTCACTGCAACCTCTGCCTCCCGGGTTTAAGCGATTCTCCTGCCTCAGCTTCCTGCATAGCTGGGATTACAGGCATCTGCCACCACACCCAGCTAACTTGTATTTTTGGTAGAGATGGATTTTCACCATGTTGGTCAGGGTGGTCTTGAATTCTTGACCTCAAGTGATCTGCCCATCTCAGCCTCACAAGGTATTGGGATTGCAGGTGTGAGCGACCTTGCCTGGACAAGTTTTTAAGAAATTTCCAAACTTTCATGAAATGGTCATACTATTTTACATTCCCATCAGTAGTTATGATAGTTCCGATTTCTTCACATCCTTGTCAACACTTGGTATGGTCAGTCCTTTTAATTTTAGCCATTCTGGTTGGTTTGTTTGTTTGTTTTGAGATAGGGTCTCACTCTGTTGCCCAGGCTTGAGTGCAGTACTGTAATCTTGGCTCGGTTGGCTCATTGCAACCTCTACCTCCTGGGATAAAGTGAGCCTCATACCTCAGACTCCTAAGTAGCTGGGACCACAGCCACACACCACCACATCTAGCTAATTTTTGTAGTTGTTGTTGGTTTTACCATGTTGCCCAGGCTTGTCTTGAACTCCTGGGTTCAAGTGATCTGCCTTCTTCGGCCTCCCAAAGTGCAAGGATTATAGGAGTGAGCCACCACACCTGGCCTTAATTTTAGCTACTCTAATAGGCATGCAGTGGTATCTCTTTGCAGTTTTAATTTTTATTTCCTATATTTTCATGTGCTTATTAGCTATCCATGTATCTTGCTTGATGATATATCTGTTCAAATAATTGCCTATTTTTTATTGGGTTGTTTTCTTATTGTTAAATTTTGAGACTTCTTTGATCACATAGAATTTTAGGTTTTACATAAAGGTTTAAGTCCATTTTGAGTTAATGTATGTAGATGGTGCAAGGTATGGATTTATTGGGACAAGTCCTAACATGTATGATAAAGTATATTGTTTGCTGAGAAGAATGTCAAGGAAAACCTGGCCACCCCTGCCCAAGTAGAAAACTGCTTGAGGCATTCTAAAGTAGCAAAACAGTGTATGTATGTCATACACCGATTAAAACAGTTCTTTAAGCACGGGATATGTAACTATGCCCCCGTGGCTCCCTCGTGGTGGATACTTTCTGGTTTGTCCTTGATCAGTGGTAAGCAGGCACCAGCTGCCTACCTAGTTTATCTTAGTTATATGAGAAAACACAGAACACCTGTTTGTTAGTAATAATCACCTGTTCAGAGAATTAAATACGTGGGTCAGACTCTCCTCGAGGTTCTCAGCTCAGAATGCTGTCAGCCCCTGAGGCTGTCAGCTTGGAAGGCTGTTGACCCTGGATAGTCCCACTTTGCTGTTTTATCTGGATGTCTGCTTCTTAATGTCTTCAGCGCTGCCTGGATGAGGGTCTCTACGGCCAAGCTGGTTTCGGTAAGGATTAAAGTTTGTTTTTTTGCATGTGGATATCCAGTTGTTCAGCACCAATTATTAAGAAGGTTATCCTTATCTACCACATTGTCTTTATCAAAAATGAGTTGTCCATATATACCAACTTAATTTTGACATTACTGAGTCAGTGTTATCTAGAATAGTCTAAATGGGAAAAATCAAGGTTGTATTCTGATATCCTCTTTATATTTATACTTCTGAAAGTCAAAACTATTAGGATTTTAGAGTATAGTGGTTTCCAAATTGTGTTTCTAAGAACCTTATAAAGAAACACAACTTTATAAGGGGAAGGGGAAAGTGGATCAGAGAAGTTCTAGGTCTTTCATCTCTATTTTGGAAATTTTAAGCACCATGTCTTTTTTGTGATGGAGTCTTGCTCTGTCACCCAGGCTGGAGTGCAGTGGCATGATCTTGGCTCACTGCAACCTCTGCCTCCTGGGTTCAAGTGATTCTCCTGCCTCAGTCTCCCAAGTAGCTGGGATTACAGGCACGCGCCACCATGTGCAGCTAGTTTTTGTATTTTTAGTAGAGACAGAGTTTTGCCATGTTGGCCAGGCAGATCTCAAACTCCTGGCCTCGGATGTCCTGCCTGCCTTGGTCTCCCAAAGTGCTGGGATTACAGGTGTGAGCCACCGTGCCCAGCTGCAACATTTCTTTAAAAATAAAATAGTCCTACACTTTAGAAAAAAAGTTGAAAATCAGCGCTGTGTGGCATAGGTTCATTTCTGAGTTTATGAGGTCTCAAACTTGCTTTTTTTTTCTTTTTTTTTTTGGAGAGAGAGGCTTGTCTGTTGCCTAGGCTGGAGTGCAGTAGTGTGATCTCTGCTAACTGCAAACTCTGCCTCCTGGGTTCGAGGGATTCTTATACCTCAGTCTCCCAAGTACTGGGATTATAGGCCTATGCCACCATGCCCAGCTAATTTTTGTATTTTTAGTAAAGATGGGATTTTGCCATGTTGCCCAGGCAGGCTTGCACTCTTGGGCTTAAGTGATCCACTTGCCTCAGTCTTCCAAAGTGCTGGGATTACAGTCATGAGCCACTGGGGCCAGCCTTAAACTTATTTTTTGAAAACAGTATTGGACCTGCTCATATAGGTGTTTCTCTGCTGTAAATATTCTGTAAATCCTTTAGGGCAAGGGATTCTCTTTTTCATTGTTTTTCCATGGTATCCGGTCATGGGATAGACTCAAATGATTGTTGGCTGGGCATGGTGGCTTAACGCCTGTAATCCCAGCACTTTGGGAGGCCAAGGCAGGTGGATCACTTGAGGTTAGGAGCTTGAGACCAGCCTGACCAACATGGAGAAACCCTGTCTTTACTAAAAATATAAAATTAGCCAGGTGTGGTGGCTCATGCCTGTAATCCCAGCTACTCAGGAGGTTGAGGCAGGAGAATCGCTTGAACCCAGGAGGCAGAGGTTATGGTGAGCCAAGATCGCGCCTTTGCACTCCTGCCTGAGCAACAAGAGCGAAATTCGGTTTCAAAAAATAAAAAAAGATTGTTAAATTAATTCAAACCATGAGAGTGGAAAGAATGTTTAGAGAGAAACAGGAAGGAGGGTACCTTTAAGAATACATTTATATTTAATAAAAGGGAGAAGAGAGAAACCAATGTATGAGAATAGTTAAGAACGCTGTTACAGACATTAAGGAAGAAGAAAATGTATTTGCTATGTTCCAAGAAGACAGTGTTCGGCTGTATGCGTAAGAGGTTACATGTATGGAGGTTGGAGTCACACAGCAGGATTCAGTCACATCCAAGCTCTACCACTTACTAACTGTATTATACTGGGTCAGCTACTGGACTTTTAAAAACCCTAGTGTTCACATTTGTAAGACTGGAATAATTGGCAGCGTGCAGTGGCTCACACCTGTAATCCCAGCACTTTCGGAGACAGAGGTGGGCAGATCCCTTGAGGTCAGGAGTTTGAGACCAGCCTGGTCAACATGGTGAACCCCTGTTTCTACTAAAAATACAAAAATTAGCCGTGCATGGTGGCATGCACCTGTAGTCTCAGCTACTGGGAAGGCTCAGGCAGGAGAATCACTTGAACCCAGGAGGAGGAGGTTGCAGTGAGCTGAGATGGTACCACTGTATTTCAACCTGGGTGACAGAGTGAGATTCCATCTAAAAAAAAAAAAAAAAAAAAAAAAAGAGATTGGGACAATTAATGTTATTTGGTGATTAAGAGGTCCTTGATGACCTTGAGAAGGAGCTTTCAGGATTGTGGGATTAAAAGACATTATATGAGCTTGATTCTATAATCAATGTTTTTGTTCTAAAGAACTTGGAAAAACTTAGTAGGAAAGAAACACTGATACTGTAAAGAAAGATTTTTACACACATGAAATATATTTTCTTCAGAGACTCTAGCAGTTATACATTTTAAATCATGTTATTGGGTGTAGTCTACAAGTACATAAAGCTATTGGAAAAATCAAATTGGACTTTTCCTATTGAAAGCATGTTTCTCAAAATCTTTGGTAAAGTAAACTGAATGGTAGAGAAGTACTTTTTTTAAACATGTTTAAGTTTCATGTTTTAGATTATGGTATGAAATTTCTAAAAAGCCTTACATCCTGGTTCCAGTTTTCTTTTAGAAAAATTGCCTATGTGTACGTTATTTATGCGAATTTTTTATTACTTCTTATATAAGACTCCCCTGCAAAAAACACTCTGGCTGCCAAGTTATCTGCTAAGAAACAGGCATCCGTATACAGAGATGAAAATGATGATTTTCAAGTAGAGAAGAAAAGAATTCGACCCTTAGAAACTGCACAGCAGGTAAACAGAATTTATTAGCAGTGAAATAATCCAGTTAGTTATAGCTGAACATGGTAGTCAAGTATCAATTAAGTTTTTAATACCCTTGTGGAGATTAGTTGGGTCATGTGACAGTCGTAAATTAAATGGTAATTTGTTATAATTTCATTTTGTACAGTTACTTGTTACAAAGGGGTTTGTTATTGTAGCAGATTATTCACAGTAAAGTCATTCAAGTGAAACTGCGTGGTGTTTCTCACATATGAGGAATTTGATAGTAAAATATTTACTTAAGGGCTATCTTGGTAATATACTGCTTTGCACTTTTTTTTTTTTTTGAGACGGAGTTTTGCTCTTGTTACGCAGGCTGGAGTGCAATGGCACGATCTCGGCTCACCGCAACCTCCGCCTCCTGGGTTCAGGCAATTCTCCTGCCTCAGCCTCCTGAGTAGCTCGGATTACAGGCATGTGCCACCATGCCCAGCTGCTTTTTTGTATTTTTAGTAGAGACGGGGTTTCACCATATTGACCAGGATGGTCTCGATCTCTTGACCTCGTGATCCACCCGCCTTGGCCTCCCAAAGTGCTGGGATTATAGGCTTGAGCCACCGTGCCCGGCCTGCTTTGCACTTTTTAACTCTTCCATTGTTTTTATCTTAAAATAGCATTTTCTTTTGGCTAAAATACTTTTGATGTGATTATTCATGTTATGGATATTTTGGAATTGATAGTATTAATGTAATGAAGAGATTTATTCTTACTGAGTTTTTTAGATTGATACATGTTAAAATATGTATATTTATTTCTAAAAATTACTAAAAGGCTTGAATTACCGGGTATTTTAAATGAAATGTACTTTTCATAGATGAACACAATATTTTCTCAGAATTCATGGCAGTGAGGTAGGGAGACTGGGATTTTAATAGATTAGGTTACAAATAAAAAAGATAATTATTAGGCTGGGTGCAGTGGCTCATGCCTGTAATCCCAGCACTTTGGCAGGCTGAGGTGGGAGGATCTCTTGAGTCCAAGAGTTTGAAACTAGCCTGGGTAACATAGAAAGACTCCTGTCTCCACAAAAAAGTTTAAAAATGAGCCAGGTGTGGTGGCGTGAGCCTATAGTCCTAGCTACTTGGGAGGTTGATGTGGGATGACTGCTCAAACCTAAGAGTTCAAGGCCATAGTGAATTAAGGTCACACCATTACACTTCAGCCTTGCTGACAGAGCAAGACCCTGTCTCTAAAAAATAAATAAATAAAAATATAAACTAAAAACCATTAATTGGCATGTTATTTGTAGGTAAGTAATTGGGTACTTTTAATTGAGTATACCCAAGGTATACTCAGTTGCATTCTTATGTAGTTTAACTGTTCCACTCATAATCTTTATAAATTTCTATAATTCAACCTTATTTTTAGAAGCAGAGTGAACTAGTTTATTTTTATCAAAGTACCAATGACAAATGAGGTGTGGATCTATAGAGATTTCCCCCCTCACAAAATGTGAACATAGAGTTCTATGTCATCAGGTAGGGCTCAACATAAAACGTTTATTCCCTTATTTCATTGGTTCTCATTTCATTTTTGGTAGGAATGAGATTATCAATAGTAATGCTTTTCTCCCAATTGTAACTTTAGTGAATAGGTCTTTCACAAGTAGGAAAAACCATGAATACAGTTTGTAAAGAAAACTTACTGGTATTTATAAAAGAAATTTAATTAAAGACAACTTGGTTTATCAAATATTAAGTAAGTAATAGTAATTGAATAATTTATTCCACATTGTAGGAAATCATGACTGTTTACATTAAAATTTTTATTCTGAGTTGTTTTCAATGTAGAATTATACTTAAATTTTGATTTACTTTTATTTTCCAATTAGATATGTGATTGGACTTTGCTGTAATTCTAGATTTGATGTCCATATGGTGGGACTATTTTATGAGAAGTTCATTTTACAATACTCCTATTTTGATGTATCACTAATCAAAGCTAGTTTGGCTAAGATTTGTGAGTCATTACTATGTTCTGTTTTATTTAAGTGTTGTCATGAGGTGCTTATTTGTGTTTTTAAAATTTGTGTTATTATTGCCAGTTAGAAATAGTCGTTTTTTTTGGATGCAGAAAAAAATGCATAGATCTATTTTGGCCTTTGAGAACAACTAGCCTGTTAAACTTCTAGTTTACCTTAAACTTCATTTTGGTTCTGTGTTTACAGATTAGAAAACGTCATTGCTTTGGAACAGAAGTACACAATTCGGATGCAAAACTTGATTCAGGAAAGACCATAAAACTCAACTCTCCATTGGGAAACATAAACTCCTTGTCTCCACAAAAAGTATGTATTAATGCCATTGTTCAGTTTTAAAGAAGGAAAATATAGAATTTTCTAAATCCATTTTTGACAAAAGAGGAAGAATAGAATAATACAAAGGACAGTAGAAAAGAACTCAGAAGTCCTCAGTTACTAACATGTGAGACGGTAAAGCCTATTTCTCTCTGTGCCCTCAGTTCCTCATTTATAAAATAAGAGAACCTGGACTAGAGAGAGATCTGAAAGTTGTTTTTTTCTGTTTTATATTCTAATGTTTGTGCATTCTCCCATTCTTCAAAGTTCTTTCAGTATCCTCAGGGCAGCAGTTCTCAAGGAATAGCCCAGGGAGTTCCAGAGATTAAGATTTTTGGGGGTGGTGGTCTCTGAGGTGAAAATTATTTTGTAATAATATCAATTTAAGATGTTGTAGGCCAGGCATGGCGGCTCATACCTGTAATGCCAGTACTTTGGGAGGTCAAAGCAGGCAGATCACTTGAGTTCATGAGGTTGAGACCAGCCTGGGCAACGTGGCGAAACCCCGATTGTACAAAAAATACAAAAAAAAAAAAAAAGTAAAATAAAATTTGTATGTATTTTAGGTGTACAACATGATGGTTTTTACAACACGATTTTTTTGTTTTTGTTTTGGAGTTGGAGTCTTGCTCTGTCATCCCAGCTGGAGTGCAGTGGCGCAATCTCGGCTCACTGCAACCTCTGCCTCCCGGGTTCAAGTGATTCTCCTGCTTTAGCCTCCTGAGTAGCTGGGATTACAGGTGCGCAACACCACACTCAGCTAATTTGTTTGCGTTTTTAGTAGAGACGGGCTTTCACCATGTTGGCCGGGCTGGTCCTGAACATCTGACCTCGTGATCCACCCTCCTCGGCCTCCCAAAGTGCTGTGATTACAGGCGTGACAGGTCATATGCCTCACATTTTTAAGTATTTTATTTTTATTTTTGCTTTTTTATTCAGACCAAAATGCCTCACATTTTATCTATTATATTTTAATCTAGACCTTGTAATAATCTTGAATAAGGTAAATTCAGAGACTAGGGTAATAACTTTTTTTGTCAAAACCTCTTCTTTCATATGGAAGGAAAAAGAATGTGGGACTAGATTTAATGATACCTTATATCTCATTGAATTCTAACACCTTTAAATTCTTAGGATACGTTTTCTATCTTGGTTCTTATTACATGATATTAGGGGGTACAGTATTTTTTTTTAATAAAAATAGTTCTTTGGATCCATAAATTAATGGTTTAGTTTCTCTTATCCTTACAAAGATGTAAGTCTTAGAGTCTTCACATTTTTCAAATATGCAGTTACATTACTTTTGACAAACTTCCCTCCATAAGTTACATGATAAATTAGTTTAATGATTTCTATTTCCCCCTGAATTTGACATTAAACTTTTTAGGTTCTTTCAAATGTTCTTAGTTTTTATTAAAATAACTTAGTTTCCAACTAGTGGATTGGAGAATTAAATAGTTGTCTCTTTATTTTTCTATCATTTCTAGTCTCCTGACTGTCTTTTCAAGTCAGAAAATAGTGTCAATACCTTTTCTTATGTGATTAACTTTCTGGCATCCACTGCTTGATCCCTTTCCTTACAGTTTAGATTCATTTTCTTAATCTTTTAATTCATATGTCAAAGAGCTAGTGAGGCATCAGTCTCCACATGGTCAAAATACAGTTAAGAAAAACATTGGTTTTTAGACCAGTATAATAATGTTCTGATATTACTTTGTTGTATCATTTGTAATCATTTTCTCTACATTTATTTATATTCTGTTCATTTGTTTAGTAAATCCTCACAATGGACAAGATTTTCTTACAGATACATTCTCATGCTTATACCAGCTTCTTTATTTACTTATTAAATAAATGTTAACATTCTTTATATACTTTAATAAAAGTAATTTGATTTAATGTAGCAGTAGCATATTGTTCTAATTCATTACTTGAGCCTGGTATGTAGAAGACACTTGGCTCCAGCAGAGGGAGCCGTTGACCTTCTTACAAAGTGTTAGCACTGGGGAGATCCTTAGGCTATTTTTTTTTCTTTTTTATTCCTCTCATACCCCATTTTTTGTTCCTTCCTTCCCTTCTTTCTTATAATTCATAGTTTTGATTTACTCTTATTTAAAATAGCTATTTAATATAACTGCATTTTATATGGTGATACTGGTACTTACTGTGTTATGTGCCAGGCACTCTTCTAAGCACTTCAGAAATTTTAATTCACCTGGCAAATACAGGTTCATGTGAGTTGATGCTTATTGTCATTTTCTTTTAACTTTTCTTTGGGTTTGACAGTTTTTAAAATAATTTACCTCAATCTTTATAACAAACCTATGAGAAAGGTATTAATTTTTTCCCCCAGTTTAACCTGAGGAAACTGAGGCACAGTATTTAAATAACTTGTTCGTGTCACAACCCTGGTGAGCAGAAGCTGGATGAAAACCCAGGCAGTCTGGCTCTGGAATTGGTCCTCTAAACCATCTCACTATTCTGTCTCTGAATAAACTCTTCCAGATGACTTTTTGATGACAGTTCATTTTTATACTTTACAGGTCATTTTATGTGCAGTACCTTGTAGATAATTTACTCAAGATTCGTCCCTCTTTTAGAGTCTCGACACCCTGTCCTTTTTCTTTACAGTGCTTACCAAAACTTATAGTGATTTATTTATTTGTAGGTTAATTGTTTTATTTCTTTTGCCTCATTACCAGACTGACCATAAGGACAAGTGTAATGTCTCTTTTTAAAAATTTTTTTATGACCAACATCTGGCATAGAGCCTACACCTAGTATGTTGAATAAATGAATGAAAAAAATGGCCATAGTTAGTAGATGCATGTTTCACCACTGTTTCTTGTAGCTTCCGATTTTTTACTCAGATCCTTATGCTTAAGGGGGTGTGACAGTATTGTTAAATACAGGTGACTTAATGCAGATTTAAAAATTGTTTTTGGCCAAGCATGGTGGCTTATGTCTGTAATCCCAGCACTTGGGGAGGCTGAGGTAGTCAGATCACTTGAGCCCAGGAGTTGGAGATCAGCCTGGGCAGCATAGTGAGACCCCATCTCTACAAAATAAACAAAATTAGCTGGGTGTGATGGCACATTCCTGTGGTCTCAGCTACTCAGGAGGCTGAGGCAGGAGGATTGTTTGAGCTTGTGGGGGGCGGAGGTTGCAGTGAGCTGTGATAGTGCCATTGCATTCCAGCTTCGGTGACAGAGCAGGACCCTGTCTCAAAAAAAAAAAAAAAAAAAAGAAAAAGTAATAACATTTGTTGAAAAACCTTTAACATTATAAACCAATACAGAATAAAAATTAAAATATTCTCCCTTATATTAATCCCATCCCCCTTTCTTCTTCCCAGAAGCAAACATCATGAACACTTTCATGAGGATCTTTTTAAATCCTTTTCTATGAATTTATAAGGATATTTTTAATAGTTCTTTTATAGTTTCGTTTGTACATTTAACTCTCTTGTTTATGGGATTTATTTTCATACATGTATGAGGTCAGACTGTAATTGTATATTTTTGCAAATAGTTGATCAGTTGTCCTGGTGTCACCTAATAATTTTTCCTGTTTTGAAGTTTTGCTGTTATCATATACTGAATTGTTGTATGTACTTGGATTGGTTCCTGAACTTTTTTTTTCTCTCTCTTTTTTTTTTTTTTTTTTGAGACGGAGTTTCACTCTTGTTACCCAGGCTGGAGTGCAATGGTGCGGTCTTGGCTCACCACAACCTCCGCCTCCTGGGATCAGGCAATTCTCCTGCCTCAGCCTCCTGAGTAGCTGGGATTACAGGCATGTGCCACCATGCCCAGCTAATTTTTTGTAGTTTTAGTAGAGACGGGGTTTCACCATGTTGACCAGGATGGTCTCGATCTCTTGACCTCGCGATCCACTCGCCTCGGCCTCCCAAAGTGCTGGGATTACAGGCTTGAGCCACCGTGCCCGGCCCTTTTTTTTCTCTTTAAATTTTTATTTTTTTTTTCCACTCTGTGTGTGTGTGTGTGTGTGTGTGTGTGTGTGTGTGTATGTGTATGTATGTCAAAGAATTCCACTTGGCTTCAAACAGAAAAGCAGTAGACTCCTGCTTTTTGAATGGAATATTCTGATACTTTTTCAGGTAGCATGCACATTTTGCTTTTCTCTTGAGTTTTTGGTTTTAGATACTTTCTGTTGCCTTCCTGCTATCCTTTTCTCCTTTCTCATTACTTCTCCCCTTTAGCCTCCCAGCATTTGGTGTTTGTATTATTTTAATTCTGTAAATATTTAAAACTGATTACAGTTCTTTCCACAAACCAGTATTTATTTATTTATTTTGGTGCCAGTAGTTGTCTTGTCACTTGCTTAGTTTTCTGTGTACCTGTAACTATCTCCAAACTGTTAGAACTTAAAAAACACATCAGGTCAAGATGTCCATATTTTTAGACTCTGAATATTTAGTGGAAATAATGAAACATACTCTTTCATATTGAATTAAATTTCATATTTCTAAATAGCTTTTTTCTGATTACAAAAGCGTATCTAAGAGAAAATTTAGGAACCACCAAAATGTGTACTTAAATTATTAACATTAATCCTTAATTAAACTATCTCCTCAGTATCAACCCCTGACATTTTGCCCACTGTCTGTTCTTAAGTGCGCAGAAGTGTGCGCACACACAGACGCAGTTAGTTATCTATTGCTGTGTAACAAACCAACCATTGATTTAGCTTACTGTTGTGGGGGTCAGCAACTTAGGCTGGGCTCAGCTGCGCATTTCTTCTGCTGCTCTCAGGTGGCCCTCTCATGTGAATGTGGTCAACTGCAGGTCAGCTGCAGCTCAGCAAGGCAGCTCTACTTCAGGGAGTTGACTGGTGGTCAGCTGGGACCATGAGGTGGGTCTCTTAACATCTACCAGGCTAATTCTGGTTTATGTATATGGTGGCCTCAGGGTTCCAAGAGCAGCAAGAGAACAAGCCCCAATGTGCAAATGCCTTTTGAGTCTCTGTTTGTG